TCGCGAGCAGGCTCCAAATTCGCCCGTGATGTTTTGTACTCTGCGATATAGTCTGCGATTTCCGAAGCGTCCGCGGAAACTTGGGATGAGAGCTACGAGCTCGACTCTAATCAGATACCGTCTAGGTCGGGTTGGCATCAACGGCCAATCGCATTTACGAGATTGCCGCTCGCTGTTTTTGGCATAAAGGCTCGCGCTTATTTCGTGTGCTATAAAGTAGTGAGCATGGTAAAACGAAGGCACTTCGACTTAAATTCATCTTTTAACGGCCTCGTCTTTATTCGGTACGTAAAATATCGGGAATATTGGAAATTGCGAAAAATATATTTCATAATTTACTATAGATTCCAAACCCTCCCCTTCGTATAAGATTGTAATATAGATAAAATTGCATGAGTGTGCTTATCAAAAAGTTATTCAAAACATTATAGTATGTATAAATTTTAAATATATTTTTATAACATACATTACTCTCTTAATATTTGCTAAAAGTAATAGTATGTTAAATATATTCAGATTAATGGAATAAGTCTTTCGATAATTTGAGATTATTTATTTGGTATAATTATTTTAATTCTGTATGTTAAATTATTAAAGAAAGTTAAAAGAAGAAAGAATTGCTCACTAATTAAAAATATTAAATCATTTGTCATCAGAAAAAGTTTACAACAAATTTGCACATTGTAAATAAGATTATACATATTATATTTTAATACTAATTCCGATAGCTAAATAATTCTTAAAATATTTTTGATCATTTGAACTTCTTATTAATAAAGCTCATCAAATAAATTAATAAATTATTTAAGATAATGTTCTCTCTAGAATATTTTCTATTTTTCATTTACAATAATTTATAATGAAGCTATAAATATTAAAACTAATTATACTAAAGCAATTTATTTTTTTATTTTTTATATTATATAATTCTTTGCACAATAAAATTTAATATTAATTTTTTAAGTTTATTGATAATTAATAAAAATAAATTTTGTTAACAAAAATCGATATTTTTATGATATAATTCAATTTAATAAGATATTTGATATATGTATTTTATATTATATTTACATTAGATTGAAAGACATTAAATTGTATAAATAATAACACACTGTCAATTATTATATGCAACTTTTGTGCAAATCTGTTGTATATATATTCAACAATTTTATTTGAATAAAGTGAATATATTATATATGTGCACAAATGTACAATAGATCAATAATATTGATGATCTTTTGCAAAAGTGATAATTAAAAGCTTAGTTCATTTATATGTTATAAATGACAAAATAAAGTTAATTACCCATAAAGTAATAAAGACTTGAATAATGTTTCATGTGTAAAAAGTTAATGTCATCTCCATCTCTTGCAAAGAGATAGAAAACTGTTTGATATCTTATCTTGTGCGCTTGATAATTTCTATTTTAAAATTAGTATTACCATCGACTTTCTTAGTTATCAACTGTTCTAGGAACAAGTGAGAAAAATCCTAACATTATCGATTGTTGATAAGATCGCGATAATGATCATGTATCGGTTTTTAATCGACTTGTGAATATACGAAATTACTATTTTTTTATATGAACCTTATTTTATAACTAGCTTTTTACTTTTTACTTTTCGATGCAATCCACGGTAATCCTCGGTAATCCATGGTAATCCCAAAAAATGGCACTTTACACTTAACACTTAAAATCGCACTATTGACCATATATTTAAGAATTTACACATTTTAAACATTTCACACAGCACTTTCACATTACGACGAAATTTTGAAACACTCCCGACAGTGAATCGCGTGCGAAATTCACTGTTTAATTTTAATAATCGCGCGAAAATTTCCGGAGCGAAACGACTACACAATTTTACACGACGCCCGTTGCTGTCTGCAATTTAACTTTCGAGACTCGCAGGATTTCTCTCGATAGATTTACTCGAAGCGGCGATCCAATCACAGTTGAACTTTATACAATCGATTTTCCAGTTACCTGTAAATAATATAAATGTCTCTTACTTCATTACAAACAATCATTAAAATTAAATGTAAGAAAGATGACGCAACATTTTAATATAATATATTTATATATTGAATATATACATATATATATATATATATATATATATATATATATATATATTGCATGTATTCTTAATATTATTATGCTTATTTGTTAAATACATCACGAAATGTTAAATGCGATCAAATTATTATAAATTTATTTTGATATGTTTAATTTTTCCATCAGAACAAAAGAAGCAAACATTTCTTTGTTCTGATCGATCAATCAACTACTTGAAAATATTTTTTGGCGCTAAATCGATCGATATATAATAATATTTATAACTTCAATTTTTGACGGCAATTTTTATAGGCCATTGTACTTCTGAAACTATCATTTTTCTCTTAGAATTTACCCTGAAAATCATGATAAACGTGCGACAATATGGTATTGGAAGAATCTTATAAGAGTTTCTCTGATTAATATTTACCACAATAAAGATATTAATATGTACATAGTAAAATTTACTATGTACATATTAATATTTTTGTGGTAAATATTAATCAGAGAAACTCTTATAATAAGATTCTTCCAATATCATATTGTCGCACAGTTCATGATTTTCAGGATAAATTTTAAGAGAAAATTCTCTCCATATACGTATACAAAACTTATTCGTACATGCCCAAGAGTAAATTATTTCCTGCTCAAATATTAATTGCGCTTTCTTTCATACATTTTCGAGCACAAAGTAAAAATTACTGAAATCATGATATTAGCGTATAATTACGATTGCATACCTAATGATGGCTGTGCACCAGTTGCATCTCCGCTGCATTTTTGCATCGGCGTAAAAATAACGTGAGTAAATGTACAAAAAGGTCTTCCTTCGTCCTTGGAGGATGATTATTGCTGGTACTTCTGAAATATCGATGCACTTTCAGAATTGCAGACAACATATTCACATTACGAAACACTCCCGACAGTGAATCGCGCGCGAAATTCACTTTTCGACACTGGTAATCGCCAAAAAACATTCGGAGAAGTACGACTACAACTCTTCGCGATCGCGACCGTTGCAAAATGGCTGGGGTTCAACTTTCGAGAATCGCAAGATTTTTCTCGATAGTCTCGATCGGAAGCAGCGAACCAATCACGGTTAAGCGTCGTACAATCGATACAATCGATTCTCCAGTCATAATCATAAATAACATAGATGTGCTTCTTACTTCATCGTAAGCAGCCATTAGAAGTATATGCAAGAAAGATGGCGCGACGACTTTAATCTGACCTATTTTTGTCTCTATATCGTATCTGTTATCAATATCATTATTCATGCTTTCTTTGTTACCTGCATCAAATGATATAAAATGTTGAATGCGATCAAATTGACATTAGAAATGTTGCGAACGTTTAATTTGTCGATCAGAACAAAAGAAGTAAACGTTTCTTTGTTCTGATTGATCAATCGCAACCGCTCCGAAGTATTTTTTGGCGCTAAATCGACCATATATACCTATAATGTTTGGAACTTCAATACTTGGATGATGAGTCTTCTAGGCCACTGTACTTCTGAAACTATCAATTTACAGACTTACGAAACTTATTCGTACATTTACAAGCCAAATTAGGCCCTGCTGAAACATTAATTGCGTTTTCTTTTGAACATGTAAGCACAAAGTAGTGAATTGACGATACTCAAATCATAATATTAGCCTCCAATAATGATTGCGTACCTAATAATGATTGTGCACCAGCTGCATCTTCGCTGCATTATTGCTTCGACGAGAAAATAACGTGAATGTGCCAAGATGTCTTTCTTCAAACTTGGAGGATGATTGCCAGTACTTCTGAAACGGCGATATCGGTGTACTTTGGGTATTGCAGACAGCATATTCCAATTACGAAACACTCCCGACAATGAATCGCGCGCAAAACTCACTTTTCGACATTAATAATCACGAAAAACACCCGGAAGGTTACGACTACAAATCTTCACGATCGCGCCCGTTATGGAGGAGTCCTCACTTTCGAGAATCGCAGGATTTCTCTCGATAGTCTCGATTGAACCAGTGGACCAATCACAGTTGAGCGTCGTTCAATCGATATAATCGATTCTCAAGCCGTACATTATAATAAATATACATATATTACATGTCACTTGCAATTATTTAGATCTAGAAATCGCTTATTAAACTCAAATATTTAATAAAATAAAGAATAGCGCAATATCTTTCTCCCATGTTTTATCTCCATATATATTTTACATATCATTGTGTATGCGCGTGATTATATTATGATCATGTTAAAATTATTTTGATCAAATAACATTTTTTAAATAATTTTTTTTAATAAGCGAGCACACAAATAAATTATCGATTTAATCGCAATAATAATTGTACAAGATATTCATATATTACAGCGGATATTAATATATTTTATATAAAATTCTTTGAAATTCATTTTTGAATAACAAAAACAAATATTAATTTATATGTGATTCTAATGTCTGTGAATTTGAAGTATTGAACAATTTTTTATTACTGAGTTTTTATTAAATGCACTCTCATTAAATACACTTATTTTTATTATTAATATACATAAGAGAAGACTAATGTTATAATATACAATTCTATATGTAAAAAATATGATATACAAGTACACTTAAATGAAATATAACAATAACAATAAGTTTACTTTTTGAGATATACAGTTATAATACACATGGTCTTGAATTATTATGATATTTATCACCTCATTTTTGCTTTATATGTATGCTTTCTCTTTGGAGATTTTATATAATTTTATATATTTTACGAGAATTTTCTTTTATATAAAAGAAAGAAATCTGTTCACAATTTTTTTTAGATAACGAAAGTGCATCAGCAAGTCAATATATAATGTTTAATAATAATAATATATATGTATGTTGAATAATCGCATTGAAACATGATTTTTTATATATACTAAATAAATTTCTATACATAGAATATAAAGTACTTATTTATATATTTGATTTTTCAATTAAAAATAATTTGTGATGATCAAAAATACCATAATAATTGTAGAAACAGCCAATTAGCAAAAATAATCATGATATTAGGTTTGATATAAGATTCATAATTTTGATATTTTTCTATATCAAGAAATTAATAAATATAATCGCATCCAAGTATGTAAAAAATATTAACTAGTAAAAAAGATTATAGCAAGTCAGATAAAAACATTTTTTTAGAGAATTTACACTTCTTTTGCATTCTATTGCAGGCGTCATTTGTCTATTCAGCTTGCAACATAAAATTCGGAATAAAATGATCTATTTTAATTATATGCATTGATGTAATTAGCACATTCTGAATATAAAATATTTTTAAATTTTCAATAAGGTGGCGGATGCTGATAGGAATGTTGTGGTGGTTGACTCAAGTGCCTCTGCAAATGTGTCACAAGCTGAGGAGTTGGTTGTTGGCCACCAGCACCACCCTGCTGTTGCTGCTGCTGCTGTTGAGCAGCCTGCTGCTGTTGCTGCTGTGCTTGCTGCTGTTGTTGCATGGCCAACATTTGTTGTCTCATGCGTTGGTTGATGACTTGTTGCTATAAGTAAGAAAAATTAATAACAATAATTCATCAAATTTTTTGGAAATGTACTGCTACTGATGCTATGTCTTAAATTGCGTACCTGCTGGAACTGTTGATTTTGCTGCAAGCTAACATTGGTCGCTCCTACTCCTGTCACTCCAACTGCACCCGGCTTCCCAGCAGATTGTCGATAAGGAGGAGTAGGTTGATTCTGAACCCCTCCACCCATTGGTCCCATTGCATTCATTGTTACGTTCGGCGCCTAAATCAGTAATAATGTATCTCTTTTAATACGTATTTATTAATTTTTATAAATGCATATAGTTTCTGTATGTATTATGAATATATAATATTATATAATATTATGTAATATTATAATTTCTGTATGTAATCTTTTAATGATAATAATGCTATGCTGATATGTTTAAGAAATTATAGAAAAGACATATCAATTCAAATATGATCGATTCAAACCTTAACAATTATGTAAATTCCATTTTAATAAAAACATTCAAAACAATTAATAATTTTCACATGCTCATTAGATTTAATTTAAAATATTATCAATTAAAAAAAATTATAAATAAAACGAATAAATCTTATGTTCGAGTTGGTTATTTTATATCACTTCGCAATATCGACTATTATGAACCTGTAAATAGGGCGGCCTTGCAGCACCAGGTTGCATTCTTTGTTGTGGCATATATTCTTGTCCTCTCTGTGGAGCCATCATTTGCTGCTGTTGATTAAACATCATATTTTGCTGTTGATTCAGAATGCCTTGTTGTTGTTGCTGCTGCTGCTGTTGGAGTAATTGCTGTTGCTGCTGCGTTTGCTGTGGCGTTTGCTGCTGCTGTTGCTGCTGCTGCTGTTGTATCATTTGCTGGCCGCCATATCCTGCATAATTTTGATTCATACCTGTAAAGAAAAATTGTTTTAAACTACGCTCGACCGAAATTGTGAAGAGACTTCATACTTTTTTTATTAAACCATATTAACTATTAAAGAAAATATTTGTGAAACCAACATATTAGATTGATGGATCTGTGAAATCATATATATATATATATATATATATATACACACCTTGTTGAATTCCAGCATATAATCCTTGTTGTTGTTGTTGTTGTTGTTGTTGTTGCTGCTGCTGTTGTTGTTGCTGTGCTGCAAACATACTCTGTTGTGGATTTATACCAGGTGCCCCATGTTGTGCTCTTAACTGTTGCCTAATAAACTGTTGCCTCTGCATTCCTTGGATTCCTTGGAATGTACCCGGTCCAGTGACTGGTGTGGCATTCGGTGGCTGCTGCTGCGAACCCATGAATTGAGTGGACGGTAATCGCAAGCGTAGCATGTTGGATAAAGCTTGCTTGGACTGATTATTCATCCCTGGCCTCTCATAACGTGGACCACCAACAGGTGTAGGTGGCAATTGTTGTCCATATCCATACTGTTGTGCTGGTGTGTGAGTCTGTTGATTGCCATACCATTGTTGTTGAGGCTGCGGTGGTTGTCCAGTAAACATTCCAGGTTGTTGCGCAACAGGAGCTTGTTGATTAGCAAATGCCATTTGTTGCAATTGAGGTGGTTGCTATTAATTATAAAAGAAAAAAATATTAAGTTTAATACTCATTTTATATTATATTATCATATATAGTTAAACTCACCTGCATTTGCTGTGATATGGGCGTTGTAGGTGTAGCAGCGCCTTTCGCACGTCTATTATGTCGTTTATTTTTCATAGCTTTCCCTTTACCATTAGTGCTAGCATTACCCACTCCAGCGTTACCCACGCTACCGCCAACTCGTCCTGGTGAATCAATACTCATTGGAGTATCTGCTTTGCCAGGTTCTGATTCTTTCTTATCCGGCTCTAAATCTTCCGGCGGTAATGGTGGTGGATCCAAATAATAGCTGGCTGGACGAATTTGACTGTGTGTATGATATCGTAATAGTTTGTGCGCATTTTGATACGTAAGAGGTTTACGTTCCAACCGAACAGCTCTAAACCAAGCCCAAGAAAGTGGTGCAGGATTTTTATGACCTTCTAAGAGCTCCCATGCCGACACTCTTTGAGTATCACATACTTGCAATCCCTAAATTCAAATATAACACATAAAAAAGAACATTATATAATTTTATATAATATAGAAAGAAATATTTTTATTCAAAGATAACAGTGAAATAAATATACCTGTTTTTTATCGATGCTATCGAATCCAGCAATCTTGTTACCTTTAGTATCAGTCAAACATCCGACTGGTTCGCAATTGATGACTTCCATAGCCAATTTCGGCAAAGGTAGGAGTTGTCTAACAAAACGAATACTTGGAGAATTTCTATCGCCCAATTCTTTCTTCAATTTTTTCATTAAGTTTTGATAGTGTTTTTTATTCTCATCTTTTTCAGACTGCGAATCTGACACTAAAGTAGAGTGGATTAGCGTTGCTAGCATATCTATAACGGTGGTAAAAAGTTCTGCATTATTATTTAAATCTATAACACCATAGCTGACCAATTGAACTAATAAAATTGCCCAGTCCGTTGTAGCAGTCGTATTTCTCTGTATTGTGTCAAAAACACCTCCGACGAGACTGAATCTTAATTGCAATGCATCTTGCAACACTTCTCTGGTTTTAGGATCTTCAGAGCCAATATGCTTCTCCTCTTTACTGGTATTCAGGAACTGTGAAAGTTGTGAATGTAGTGATGTCAATAAGCCTTCTCTCTGATCGTCTTGTCCTTTCAAACATGTTAATACTAATGATAAAAATGGCTGGTGATTGAATAAGGAGGGCGATTTGGATCTGCCTCTCTCGCGACCAGCTGTTTTCGACCAATTACCAGATTCTAATACCTGTCCTGCTACTTTAAGAACTCGGCCTTGTACCGCACTTGGTAACTTAGAAACCAGTGGAGCAACTAGCCATATAGAACCCGATCTTTTATCAGGTTTGCTGCTCAAAGTATTATTCAATTGAAAAACGTCAATTGCAGCTTTTGCGACTGTATCCAACCACTGAGAAAGATCGTTGCAGCCTGGTGCGAATTGTTTATACATAAGTTGTAAATCCAGCCACGACATTCTCAAGCTCCACTGCTCCAGATTCTCCAAAATATTCGTAATATGAGTCTTCTGATCAATAAAAGCTTCAGTTGGAGTTTCAGGATAACAAATCATATGTAATAATTTTTGCGCCTGTCGTGGTATCAACATATTATCCAACAGCATATCTTGATGACAGAGTTCTTCTGGATTTTGTAAACATCTCTCTAGTACCCATTCTTGACTGCAAATCTGACGTAAAACGTGATGAGCGAAATCAGAAAATCCCTTCACATTTTCCGTTGTCATGCCAGCGCTACTACTGGATGAAGACATAGCCAGATCGAGACCGAGATCATCACCGCCGCCTAAGATATCACTAGTTCCTAAAATGTGGCTGATAGATAATTCACCAGGTCCACTACCGCTCACACCGACTCCAACTCCAACACTGGCTGGGCCACCTCCCTTACTGGAATGGCTCAAAGGTATATCAACTTTCTTTGGGGGCTGTTTGGTGGCTGTAGCATCTCCTACGACTAATATAGCTTTGAGTACTGCCAGTACTGGTCCTACTCTTATATTATTGTGTGCAGCAGCCAATAAGTGCCTATCGCAGCTTAATTTTATACTGTAACCCCTTGTATTTCCACTTGGAAGTGGATGAGGACTCGTGCTAACCGAGTATAAAGCTGGCTGCGGACATTCGACAGTTTTGAAGAGTCTCAATAATAAATGACAAGTTAAACGTGCACCCGCTTCTGCTTCGATATCAATATCGCCACGCCCGTCGTTACAAGTTTTTACTAATGATGGTAATGCTATATGCACAACAAAATCTTCCAAAGAGAAACAATGCCTTGCTGTAAATATAATAAATCATTGAATTATAAAGTGTACTAGATATATAAGTATACCATTATATCTCACATTTAATAATTACACACAAAATGTAATCTTTTTATAACTTACCAATTAAAATTGATGTAAATATAGCCAAAGAATTATGTATACTTAAATCTTGGACATCAACTTGATTTAATACATCGATATAGAAAGCAGAACTATTGGAGGAACAACAAAGTGCTATAAGTACTCCCAACCATTCAGCATTGAGAGCATTACAACACGCAGTTAATTCCGCACAAGTTATAGCAATATCATTGAGTTTATCATTATCCGTTTCGCTGCAAACCGCAACAATTGCATTGCAAACAAAACTGTAACGATTAGCCGGCGTTTCATTCAACTGTCTTGCCCATTGTGGCTCAATTTTTCCACCTCTTCGTGGACTAGTAAAGACATCCACCATAAATTGCGAATTATAAACGTGGCTTGAAGGCGTTGGTTGCAACGTACTATAAAGAGCAGCACGAATTTTTGGATAAGCATTACTAAATGCCTCCACTCCATGTGATTTCGTTTTCAGAAGGGAACATGTCGAATATAAGTCATACAAATGCGCTAATACGCATCGTTCAGCAGAACTGCAATCACTTGGATTTGAGACATGCTTCACTACCTTGCATAATAAATCAAACACTGCTGTCGTCTGTTCAGGTGATACTGTAATTTAAATGTAAAATAAATATATGGCATAATTTAAAAAAAAAAAATATATATATATGGAAAATAGATATTAATAAACTTACATAATAAACAACAGTGATATCTTCTTAAAACACCAACCACATACAAACTCAGATTTGTGGTATAACTTCTAACTAATTGACTGTTTCTAGTTGTCAACTGGGCTTCTACTTCTGGTAACTCTTTCAGAATTTGTATACAAACGTCGATTAGGCCATATATATTCAATGCCAGTTCCATCAGATCAAAAAGAAAAGCTACATGTTCATGGACTGGTAAGTAAGATGAACCAGATAATGCAAATGTGTTAAGCATTTCTATAACTTGTGTTGCACATTGCCACGTCACAACATGTTGATCAAAATAACTTAGATTTTGAAACTTCATAGTGACAGCTTCAAAATTAAATTCATTTCGAGAGTGTTTTTTCACTTTACCACCTTCTGCAACATCAATGCTAAATTTCTTGCCAAATAGTTTACACACTTCTTTCGTCATTTTTTTCACAACATGTCTGGCTTCATCTCTGACACGTCCAACACCATAAAGTAATACATGTCGCTGATTACAGTCATGCTGACTACATGTTTCATCCTATAACAATAAAATGTTTATAAATTATGCGAAGGAATTTTTAATATCATTAATAATATTAATATTATTAAAAATATTGTTTTAAAAATATTTGTACTATATAATTTATATCCAAAACAATTTCAGCAAGCATATAAGAAATATGAGGCGGCAATTTAATTAAACAATTCACTGAAGTTATTTGATGAAGAAAATATAAAAAAAATTACTTGTGGCAGAGGGAAATGGGTAGTGTACAATAAATGCCTGCTATGACTCGATGGCATCTTTGAATCGAGACTTTCATGGCCTCCATGTCCAGTCAATGCATCCTCTTTAGGGCTGTCTGGTGCATCCATGCTATTTTGTTGATCCTCTTTAATATGCTGTAATAATTTGTCTAAATCATCATCAATTTTACTATCATCATAGTCCATAGTACGTCCATGATCTGGTACTTCCAATTTAGTTGGTTTTAAATCTATACCCGGAAAAAGACTATCTTCATCAATTGGTTCTCTGTTACTGGGTGTTCCAGGTTTGCTAGCTACTGGACCTAGTTAAGATAGAGAATAATTAAATTTAATTAATTAAATATTTAATATCAATTTCCAGAATATTTTATAATAAAATAGAACAAATACCTATCACTTAATATTAGTGTCTAAAAGATATCTTTGAAACATACTTTGAATATATTAATATGTTTAATCTATCTTTTTTACATTTTATTGCATTTTATATTGAATATATTAACAAGAGAAATGCACATCTCTTAATTATAAAATGTAAATTTACATAATTTTTCTTATGCTCATAAGCAAATAAACAGACTAAAGTATATAAATAAAGTTTTTAAGATAAGTAAATATATATTGATATTACCTTGTATAAGATCACCTCTTGAAATAAGAGTGCACATGTATGCATCATGTGAGAAAACATCGTGCCTTATTAATTCCGAAAACAGATGAACTAAATTCGTAAACTGAGCCTTAGATTGAACTGAAGTATTATCTAATACTGGTGCGTCCACATCCAAAAATTTCATTAACAAGGGTTGAAAGATTGGAAGTACAGGTGGACTTCCATTACTGCACGTACTGTCTTTGTCATCATTATCATTTGTCTCGCCAGTAGCCTCACTCTGTCTTTTTTCAAGAAGTTTAGCAACCGCCATTGCTCTATGTTCTCCCCAACGTTCGGCGCTTACTGCCCATTCGCACAAAATTTCAACTACTGCTGAATCCTGTTGTGGATTATATTCTGTCTTTGTGTCACGTTCGTTACAGTTATCTTTCGGCGGTGGTGTAAAGATTTTTGCATACAATGTATCGAGTGAATTAGAAGCATCCATTCTATCAAAACTATGTCGATCGAGAGCGTCTAGTGCAGCCAATACTTTAGTAGTCGTTGTTCCAGCACTGCTCTGTTGCCATTTGTCACACGACCATCTACCTTCCGCTGCTTGAGATCGTGCTTTTATATTTTCTTGCGCGATTCTAAGTTGTTTCATTGTAGGATTGCCGGAACTCGCTGGTGGACATGGCAAAGCTGCAGGAGGACACGGTAAATAATCTAAGGGTGATCCATTCAAAACTGATGGAGCCTTTCCCTCGCCAACGCTATTCCAGACTAATGATGTAGGACACTCTAGGGTTATCACCTAAAATTGAATAAATTTTATTTACTACTGCAATACAATCAATTTAATATATATTAATATGTATCATGGAGAATAGTAACACATTTTATTCACCTGTATTATAGTAGATAAACTGTAAATTATATCTCTGTGATGCGCACAAGTTAAATAATCATTGAAAGCAATTGTCAAAGGATTTAATGGCCCTTGAACAGCAACAGTAGTGTCCTTACTGCCATTAACTTCATTCTTAGTAATGGAAGGACTCTGAGGATTGTTGTTACTTTCAATATTATTGCACATGTGTGCTAATTTACGACAGCACAAATATGCCAATCGTCTGGCTAATAATTCAGACTGTATAAACTCCTCTAAATATTGCAAAGCTAATGGTAATAGGAGCTTTAGTATACCATCTTCCGAGGGTGAAGATCTAATCTTATCTAATAATTCTAAGATCCATTGTAACAACTCTTGTCTATCTAGCAAGCCTTCCTCAAACATGTATTTAGCCAGCTGTACACAATAGTGCCATTGTTTAAGCGCTAATTTATGTTCTTCATTCATTGTATTGCCTGTTACAGGCTGACTGCTTGAAGTAGGTGTTGGTGGTTGATTATTGACAGAATTGTTATTATTGCTCGTGTTATTATTATTATTAACATTGTTATTGTTACTAGTAGTGTTATTACTGCTATTATTTGTCACAACAGTTCCATTGCTGTTGCAAGAATTGTTTGTTGTACTACTATTGTTACTGGTATTGGCTACATGATTGCCCATATGATAGTACTCTTGCAGTTTTGATAATTGGTCTTTCAAAAATTTTATCAAGGTACCTGTCCACTCTGCAAGAACAAAAACAATCATGTTTAATATTCATTATAAATAAAAAATTGTATACAAATTCATATTAAATTATGATTAAAAAGTATATAATCTAAAATAATTCCATTGATTTACAAATGATTTGCCTAGCTAATAATTCTCTGTTTTTCAATATATTTCTTTATTGTTTTTTTTTTTATTTATTAGACATATATATTATCTGACATATGATATAAAATTGTATTTCACCTGTAGTTGGATCAGGCAGCTGACGTTTCTTTAGCTTGGCCTCTGAAACTGCAACTGTATAAGCTGAACTGAGCTTAATAAACCAAGCTGCTCTTAGCATTGGTACTTGATATTCGCAGAGCATCATAAATATCTCCTCCTTTTTATTGAAGTTTGGAGCTTTCTTCGCAAGAGCGACCAGAGGCTTGCTGCCTGACAGATCTTTAAACCATGCTTCGATACCGTTCTTAGTTCTAGCTGTCACTGGCCAAAAGTTGTCTTTGGGATTAATCTGCTGTCTCTTCCTGCCAGTGTCGGGCATCGTCGCGAGTTCCTCTTTTTTGGCGAGGATCGCGTTAAAATACGCGCCAACCTTGGCGGCAGTGACATTGGAACTTCTGGCCGTTCCAAACTCATCCGCAAGCTGAGGTATAGTGGTGAAACCATGCTTGACGTTTGTGAGGGAGAGCTCGTCCTCCTTCTGCTTCGGCTCCTGCGGATAAACGTCTGGTGGGCCTAGCCTCGGTCTTTTCAGCGGCCTTTTCTCATACAATATGCCCATCATAGTACAATTGGATCCAAAAGGTCGTTAGAGCACGCACACAGTTGTGAACATTATTATATATATGTCGTTGCGTTAATTAAGTAAACGGGACTTTAGTGCGTGTAATAAATTGCAAATACGCGTAAGATTTATTAATCAACCTTGCGAAATTTACATTTGTGCGCATCATCATGATTATAATGAGAGTTTCTAGACGACATACCGACGCTTTCAAGATTACTGTATCACCGCCGCATCGCTGTCAATTATCTAGCTACACCGACGTATGATCGAAGGATCAAAGTTTGTCACAATGGAAGCCCTAATCGAGGCTTACATTGCATTTATCTCATTAACTTTTTTTATCCCTACAATTATTCACATACATATAGCTTACACATATATCTCAGAAATTTTCAGCTGTTGTCAGCTGCTATCCACTGATTTGATTCGTCCATACATCATCGAGTATCATGATGGGTATGTCGAGTCAGAAAAAAAAACACGTGTGACAGCTGCGGTGACAGATACTCAACCCTTCTTCCGATTGGTCCGTCTAGTAAAAGTTCCTAGGCGCCGAGCGTCGTGATTGGTCCGGACAAATCGAAAAACGGCGCGAAATTCAAAACTGACAACAATTCCGATTGAAGGATGTTGGAGGTGGGGGGGCGTTCGAGGACTGATTATTAGTCACCGAGTAGACGGATACTTGTCGTCGCGCACCTCATGACGTGTCATGGCAGCGCTCGAGATGTGATACGCGTTTGCGTTGTGCCTCGCGACGACGTTTCGCGTATATAAATCCCTCTTGTAAACGAAGAAAAGCCGCGGTGTATGATGCGATCGGACGCTTTCACGTAGGAGAGTCATATATTTTGCGCAAGAAACGCGAACGCGACAGCGGAATTGTTTTAAGAAAAGAACAACGATTGCGTCGACGACGACGACGACGACGGCGATGAGAACGACGACGAAGACGACGGCGACAGCGATCCTTTACACGCTGTGTGTATTTCACGGTGTCTCGGCATTCTATTTGCCCGGACTGGCGCCCGTGAATTACTGCAAGGCCGGCGAGACTACCTCGACCTGCAAGGTATTTACCAGGAATTGCGACCGGTTGGTTATGACTCGCGAGAGATTTTATTCCATGTCATTTGTGCATTTGCACGCATATCATATCTTTTTTTTACGCACTAAATTTTATATCTCTTATCTTATTGATTTCATTATATTAAATATTTCAATGACAAATTAGACAAGTGTCATCTCTTTATGATTATATATTTACATATATCAGAGCTGAAATTTGTTAAATCTATTTTTGTTAGATATGCTTATATTTAACCAATGTATTAAAATTTAATTCTAATATACGTTTCGAATTTAACTTTTTAATTTTCATCCAAATTTTATATTATATAATATAGTTAATAAAATTATTTATCTATTTAAATCTGTTTCAGTCTGACATCAAATTGTATGTAAATCGTCTAAATACAGAAAAATATGTCATACCATATGAATATAATCAGTAAGTAATATTATAATATTTAATTGTAAGGTGTTTTTTATTTTTTCTATCATAAAATATATAATCTTTGTAACCATTTTTTAATATTTTACGAAATTGTAATTTAGTTTTGACTTCTGCACGGTGGAAGATGAACAATCCCCAGTTGAAAACTTAGGCCAAGTTGTATTTGGAGAACGTATACGGCCGTCTCTATACAAGGTAAAAGCAATACATATGTATATATAAGATCCAAGAATAATCTTTTTATTAATGCTTAGTTTCTGAAAAAATCAATTAAAATACATTATTGTATTTTTTAGTTGGAATTCTTGAAAGATGTCAAGTGTGCCAAAACTTGTATGAAATCATATGTAGGAGGTGACGAAAAGTCTGAAAAGAAGTTGCAGTTAATAAGAAAAGGGATAGCAGTCAATTATCAACATCATTGGATTGTTGGTAAAGTATCAAAAAGTTTTGAGCAATTAAAGATGTATTTGACATCAATTTAAAAACTCACCTTTGCATATTTTTAGTTACAATTATTTTCTGTAATACTATTTTATTATATCTCAAAAAGATATTACATTATTTATGTAATAATATATCTATTTAAAAATTTAAAGAAAAAAGGGAAATGATAAAAGTGAACAAAGCTTATTATATTAAGTTTTATGCTTTAATGTATACATTTAAAAATAATACATTTAAATTATTGAATTGTTATTTGATTAAATCGTTTACTTATTTATATTAATTTAGCTTTATTATTTCCCTATTGTAATTGATTAACAAATTTTTTTGAGAGATTATATAAATAATATTTCTGAAAGGAATTTTACCATTATTTTATTTACCATACAATAATTTTAATGATTATTTGTATACTTACAAAAAAATTAATACTCAATTTAAGGTATTTTATTTATGTGTCAGATAACATGCCAGTAACATGGTGTTATCAATTGGAAGATGAACGACAGTATTGCAGTACTGGCTTCCCTATGGGTTGCTATTCCAAAGAATCTAGATCTCAGCTAGATACTTGTACTATACACGTGAGTATAGGACCAGTTACTAAATTTTTTTAATATTATGAGTTAAATTTAATATTTCTTTATGTATGTTGTTAGGGTCCATACAACAAACCGAAAACTTATTATTTGTTCAATCATGTGAATCTTACTATAACTTATCATAGTGGTGCTACAGAAGAATGGGGTTCATCTTTTAAGGAAAATGGTGGTCGTATCATATGTAAGTATTTTTTTAAATCTAAACTGGTTTAATTTTCAGCAATGTTAATTATGCATTAATAAGAAAATTGCATTATTCATATGAGTATATTTTTTATAGCTGCAAAGGTAGTGCCTCACAGTATTAAGCATACTGGTACAATTGATTGTGAAAGTCAAATACCATTAGAGATACCAGCCAATGAACTCCCAGCTGGACAAAATTTTCAAGTGATATATACATATTCTGTTAAATTTGTGGTAAGTTTTTATAAAAACGAAATAGTATAATAATACAAAATATCTTAATAATAATTTGTAAAATTTGTCACAATTTCTTATCATATTTGTTATTATTTCAGAAAAATAACACAATCAAATGGTCATCCAGATGGGATTACATCTTGGAATCGATGCCACATACGAATATTCAGTGGTTTAGTATTCTTAATTCACTGATAATCGTTCTGTTCCTCTCCGGCATGGTGGCTATGATAATGCTTCGCACACTGCACAAAGATATCGCACGATATAATCAGGTACTTATATATCAATTAAATTTACATAGCTTTTTATTCAATTAGCTAAAATATTCTTTTTAGTTTAATAAATACTTTCAAATAGCTTTAACTTAACATAGCTACTTAAATAATCTTTCCTATATTTTACACATCCTTTTATTTTATTATAAAATGAATATATAATACTGAGAATATGTTACTTGACTAAATTATATATTAAAAAGACAAATTGAAAATTAACTATCTTTTCTTTTTTTATTAAATTTTATCTACATAAGCCATATCATACATACATACATATATATAGTTACATATATTTGTATACGAAAGCTTCTAGATATTTAATACAATTTTAAACATTATTAAAAATATGCTGAGTATATTCCATTTAACATTATAAATGTTTCGAAACATTTGATTGACTAATCAAGACAAAAATTTATTTTATTCTAATTGATCAAATAATTTGAAATATTTGTAACATCAAATGAAGCATACCTATAAATTAATGTAGTTCGATTTTTATATTTATGTAACAAAAGTTTAATTTTTCGAAAATTTAATTTTATGGAATTATATATCCTTTTAATTTAATAATTCAATTATTTCAATATTGCATGTCCTATACTAATAATACTAAGAAATACTTTGAATAACTTTAGTAGCATAGTTGAATTTTTATATAACAATGTAATATAATTTTATGAAAAGGTGAAGGTAACCAAAAACGTTTTCTTCACTTTTACAAAATTATGATCTGTTTGTCTGTGTTGTGATAACGCAGGCCTACTTCCAGATAGAATCAGGAGAGGATGCACAAGAGGAATTTGGATGGAAATTAGTACATGGCGATGTATTTCGCCCTCCACGTAAAGGAATGTTGCTTTCAGTTCTGCTGGGATCTGGTGTTCAAGTATTCTTCATGACGTTAGTTACACTAGGTAAATCATATTTATATAATTAAGTGTTAAATTTACGATTATTTTAGATTACGAAAAAATTTAAATTTAATGTATACTAATTAGATTAAACTCATACATTAATTATTTTCCTTTTATCTCTATTAAATATATCTCTATCTATATAAAATTATATTATAAACATAATTTTATAGCATTCGCTTGCTTGGGTTTCCTCTCACCTGCTAATAGAGGTGCTCTAATGACTTGTGCAATGGTTTTATACGTTTGTTTGGGAACCACTGCGGGATACGCAGCCGCCCGGATATATAAGAGTTTTGGCGGAGAAAAATGGAAATCCAACGTGTTACTTACATCTATGCTTAGTCCTGGGTAACATACAAATTTATTAATTTTGCTATATTTAAAATAAATAAAATTCTTTTTTATATTTAAAACAAATGTATATTACAAGATTATATTTTCTTTTCCAGAATCGTATTCAGCTTATTCTTTATAATGAATTTGATATTCTGGGTGAATGGAAGTTCAGCTGCAGTACCTTTCAGTACTCTGATCGCGCTTCTGGCATTATGGTTCGGAGTATCAGTACCTTTAACATTCATCGGCGCCTATTTTGGCTTTAAAAAAGAGTATAATTGTTGATTAATATTATTTTAACATGATACTTCAATGTTATTTTAATGTAAGAACTATATACTCTACAAATAATGTTGCAGGCTTTGGAACATCCAGTACGAACAAATCAGATCCCTCGACAGATACCAGAGCAAAATTTCTACACACAACCAGTACCTGGTGTCATAATGGGTGGCGTTTTGCCGTTCGGTTGCATATTTATACAATTATTCTTCATACTTAATTCTCTTTGGCAAGTATTACAAATATATATCTTTATTAATAAGCATTTTCTTATAAATCATTTTTTATAGGTCCAGTCAAGTGTATTATATGTTCGGATTTCTCTTTTTGGTTTTTCTTATACTCGTCATCACGTGTTCCGAGACGACGATTCTACTTTGTTATTTCCATCTTTGCGCGGAGGTAAAAAATATGTGTATTTGTGTGTATATAATGAGGACAACTGAATTTCTTTTATTGAATATCATGTAATGTGAATGAAATTTTTTTAGGACTATCACTGGTGGTGGCGCAGTTTTCTCACATCCGGTTTTACTGCTGTCTATTTGTTAATTTATTGTATACATTTTTTTGTTACTAAATTAGATATTGAAGGCGCCATTTCTACGTTCTTATATTTCGGATATACGTTTATCATGGTTTACTTATTCTTCCTTTTGACTGGTGAGTATTATTCATTATATATGTAACTATAATGTTTAAACAAACGAAAACAATTTTTTTTTTCAGGTTCCATTGGTTTCTTCGCCTGTTTTTGGTTTGTGCGCAAGATTTATAGTGTTGTGAAGGTTGATTAAATAAAACTGATGGCGAGAACAATGCCTGTTTGATGAATGTGGTAAAATTAGTGTGAAACTGATTGAAACGAGAATGAGCGATAGTCGATATTATGTAAATTGGCATTATAAAACAAAAATCGTTGCGATAATAACGAGCGAATTTATTATTCACGTCGTTATTGTTGAGATATATCTCATATTCCAAATATTGCCATAAATATTAAATGTAATTTATTTTATTAATACAAAAAATACAGTTTTTTTCGAATACACATCGATGTCACGTTATCGACTATCTGACATTCTTCAGAAATATTTTCTCGACGCGTCTAACATACATCATACATATTGATGACGTATGTTTCAGATATTCACAAAAACTATCTATTGTATAAATATTTTATTTTATTTCTTTGTTTCCGAAACACTCGTGCAATTACGTGTTTTGGGTTAATATCTTGTCATTAAATCTTCGATGTGTTATATAAAATCTGATCAGATTACTTATCGTTTATTAATACATTTATCATTACAAGGAGATGTGAAAAACGATTTCTTTGTATTAAAAATTGGTAAAAGTATTAATCGTGAGACACATAAGAGAAGTCAAGTACAATTCAATTGAATAAAATGTGTTTTTCAGATTATATAGATTCACACAAGTATAAATGTACAAATTGAGAACCAATCTAATAATTAAATTTTATGTCTTTTTTTTCTTCTTGCTATCACTAGTATTCGTAGCCGTAATATATATTTAATAGTCGATATGCATACTTTCTGTATTAAAATTTTGTAAATGAACAATGTTAGCATTGACACCGACGAAGTATTGTTAAAGACGGCCAGCCTCGCGTATTTTCGTGACCATCAGGTATATTCCAGGCTGAAGATAAATGAAGAATAATTACATTACCGGTTATTTTGATTACATTAAAGATATCGAAGTTATTTTAATGTGAAAATTTTAGTTTATTCGGCTATTTTATTATTTAACATGTATATATTTTTATGAATACCCATTTCAATTTAACAAAACGAGCATTTTACCAAATTATTATTTTATTTTTCTGACAATGCAAAGATTTATTTACCTGCAGCAGCAAATTTTTTTTTGAAGTTATGCAAATTTCCACAAAGCTTCCATTAGGTCGTCTTTAACGATATATATTGTCACTTTAATAATATTTTATTTTAATAACATTATCATTTAATAATGTTATTAAAAATACAAATAAAATTATTGAATTTTATATATTTTGCAAATATGTTTATCCGCCGCGCTATATTTTTGCGAGACATTTTTCGTTATAGGAATTTATTACATACAATTTTATGAATATAACAGACAATAGGCGTTCTTTGTTTTAAGCATAAATGTATTTGCTTTTATCCATGTTCTTCTCAATTTTTCGTCTACAGATGAATAACAAAGTCTCCGATAGGTGTATTGTAAAAAGTAAGCGATAAATGTATTTCTATATATCCTAGTAGTGTATTCTCTTTTTTTTGTTTAAGATTTATTAATAATTTTACATGTGTCACACTATGGAATATCGGTTATATTTACATATATGTCTTCGTTCTGCGCTAGTCTATCGCACAATTAAAACACTGACGCGACATTTCCAAGTGTAGTCACTACCAAAGTTGAATGATTGGTAGCTGTCGAGTTCGCGAAGATCGAAATAGACTATGGAGAAAAATATTTAATGCGGAGACAGTTTCTTTTTCATCCATCAAATGATGTTCGAGACGTTTTCACAGCAACGTTCTTCTACAGATCGAGCGACAGTGTTTCCCAATCAGATTGCGTCATATCCATTCAAGTTTATATTTGTCAATGTTCGATTTGTAAAAAAAGAAATAAGGGAAAAGAACGAAGGAACGAAAATTACTCAATCATGAGTGTCAAGTCTATTCCACATTCGATAATGTATCTTGTCTATTTTCTTCGAAGAGTTTCCCACGTTGTAAAATGTTTCATGTGGATTCTGCGAGCAGATGTCTCATATATGGTCTTAATATGATGTAGAGATAAATCAGTGTCACCTGCCGTGGTCGATGCATTACACAGTATCACTACACCATGTCTGATCTAATAATTGGCTCTCTGTGGGATAGATAAATGTTGACCTGTAAGAAGTATGGTTTAATTCTGATACATGAGGAAAGGAATCGGAAGGACTCTTGATAGTCATGCATATCGATTAATATCATCTGTAAGCGATTTGAAATCAAATTGAGGAAGGAAATACAACAAAATAGAATAGAAGCGAAATAAAGAAAGAAAACAACACAAAGGAAACTATTACGAGACAAATGCTTGAAATTGATGTCTTCATCCTTACTAGGAAACAAAATCAGAATGTAAACGCAACAAATGTTAATTTACCATCTTGGAAGTTTTCTCTTTCTCTGTCTTGATAAAAAAAAATATATCTGATAAGTAACATATAAAAAAACAATGGGATTTAGAACTACAAGACTGATTAGAGGATAGAATGAGTTGATTAAAGCTAAATCAAGTTTAGGTTTAGGTTAAATCAGGTTAAAGGAAAGGTACGTTGCCGACGATACATTCATTTTTCTATTTTCTTGGACTACGTCGACGCCGGCCATCCCTGTTTCTGTCAGCACGTCTCATCTCTTCTAGTCTGCGCGCGTGTTCGGCCATGTGCTGCCGTCGCATTTCCTCCTTCACGACTATCTGCATAAAATTATTTAAAATTTTATAATAGTATTGTATCAATCTATTTATTCATTTGATAGTCGAAGTTTTTCGAAATAAAAATTCAATTAATGTGTTTAAAAGAAAGTGTGTTGAAGTATAGTAAAATTATATAAAAATTTTCAAAAATATTTTCTTATTTTATATTTATAACTCTACTTCGATAAACGTTTAAATATTTCATAATGAAAAGACTAATTTACATTGTTATTTGTTACAATTCTGACGTTCACTGAATTCACCTACCTGCTCATTCGTAAGCGGTAACCAGTATATGCAAGGTACCGCCTTTGTCTTTCTAAAGAGATCGTCCAGGAGTTTGGCTGGTGGCGGATCATCCTCCTTCTTCTTGAATTTGCGAGCCGGCGCCGATAAATGCGCGTCCAATGCTGGGCTTCGACTCCTCGCGCGTCGCTTCTTGTCGTGTTCCTTTTTCTCACGTTCCTTCTCCCTCATGTGCTGTTGACCATCCTCTTTGCCTAAATCCCATTCTCTCACTACGGTCACCTAATGTGTGAACATATCGCGTTGAATTGATGGAAAACGCTCCGATATTTTAAACAGTATCATGAGTAATATTGTAAGTTTTTACCTTATTTGTACAAGTTCTTACCTTAGTTGTGTTAATCTTCTCATCGCGACTCCAATCTTGTTGCCATGGATCCGACGATAGTGGCTCGGCTTTGCGAGCGACTGGTTGTTCCTTGGATGATTCCCGTGCAATCTCCATGTCATCTTTTGTGGCGTATTCCACGTGAAGCTTCTTGGGATTTGACATAGGCCACGAAATTCCGTGAAGCGCCTGTCTCGTCTCAAAGGCCTGATCCTCATTGGAATACTGTAATATCAAAATAATTATTGATCTCTATAGTTCAATAGTAATTATAACATTTTGTATTTTCTATAGTCGTACTTCAACAATGCATTTAGATTTAATTCGATCCATCCAGAATCCGTTTTCCACGATGGTGCCAGTACGCGAAAGAAGTTCCTTGATCTGATTTAACGTAAAAGGGCGAACTAAATTCTTGATCAAAAGAATATTGGTAGGTTTAGACGCTGGCGGACTCGGCGATTTCACATGCGGCATCTCCTTCACGATCGATATTTTCCGCCTCGTCGCTGCGTAAGGAAAAACATTTCAGGTAAAGATTTCATTTCGATTCTAACAAATTGCGAATATAAATTACATACCAATGTGATTATCCGTTTTTCCATTGCCCTTTTTAGCAGTGCCATTCTTCTGTAAGCTTTCGTCCGTTATTTTATCATTTGTACTGTCACTGGAATTGTGCCGTTTATCGTTACTTCTATGACGATCTTTGTCTTCGTCGTCATCCTTCGACAGACGAACTTCGTTGATAGATAATGGCTTCGCACCCGGTACCAACGCCTATCGACATCATCATTATTAAATTTCGATATTTAAAAATGAAAGTGAGACGCATAATAAAACAAAGTTACCTTGAGCGAATCAGTCGAAATGGAGAACGAAGGTGCGGTATCTGTAGAAAGTGCCGTTCCCCATCGACGTTTCCTCGGCACACATTTCGGTTCTTGTTCGCTGCCGTTTTCCTGAAAATATATATCATTCAAGTAGAATATATTAATTAAGTAAAATAAAAAAGATTCTTTCACAACATTAATAAAGCGTTAAACATCATATACCTTATTTTGACTATTGGACTCATTGTCGACGCTTGCATCAGCATCCTCTTTTTTGACTTCATTCTTTTCAGCTAATATCCTTGCCGAACTGAAAAAGATAAAAATGATCAAACTTATATTTGCAACAAAATTATATATATTAATGTTCTATTATTGTGATCTTTTAACTATCTGTATATCATTTATTCATATGTAGAAAAATTGAAATAATAAATTATTTCTTCAATTATCATTAAATGTCAAAATATTATTTGACCAGAGTGTTTACTCAAATTTTGTAAAAAAATTTCTTGATAATTCCTTGATAAAAATAAAAATATAAAACAAAAAGATATAAAATAAAAAATAATTTATTAGAAACTCATAAATATTTAATTTATTTAAATTATTTATTAAATAAATAAGGAGTACTAATTTATTTATCAGTTTTCTATGAAATTTATAATTTATATAAGATCTTTTTGATACTAAAAATAAATTGTAAAAAAATCAAACAATTTCAATAAAAACTCAAATATGTTGTCAAAATGTTAAACATACATTTCTAAAGTGCTAAATAAAAATAAAATAAACAAAAAAATAGTGAGAAACTAGGTTTGCAGTTTTTCCCGGGAGTATACACTCTGTTAAATTGAATGTTGCAAATAACGGTATATTCAAAACTTTTAGTAACATCTATTTATATGAATTACACATCTTTTTCAAATGAAATTTTGTGATGAAAATATTCATTGTGCAAGGATAATTATTCTTACAATGATCTCTTCAAGTTGACTTTAACGGGCCTATGAGCAACCGTTTGAATGCCGGCTGGTGCAGTTAGCTCCAACTTTTCAGTTGTATTTTCTTCCGGTTTATCCTGCACAGTTTCACACTGCTCAATCTCGATTTTATCTACATTATTCGAGTGAGAGTTTGTTCTTTCCGGCGATACCGATCGTTCTTTATCATTTTCTTGTGAATACTCTGTACTTGGTTTTTCATCCTCCTCCTCTTCCTCTTCGACATACGGTTTGGAGAGTTTACTGTCAACTGTTTCGTCTTCGGAATCGGGTGTCTCAGAATTAGACGAATCTCTATATTTGTTCCGATGTTTTCTGCGGATCGCACGTGGAGACGTTCGGTCGCTATTTGTTCTACTTCTTTGAGGGCGCGACTCATCGTTAGAATCGGATGACGAGTCCACCGGACGATGCGTTTTCGCTTTATCATCCTCCTCATCCTCACTACTAGTGTCTCTATGAACTGTCTCATTTTCCACGTTACTCTCTTGGCTGAATGTTTCTGTTGATTTTTCGCCGACATTATCTTCCACGGGCTTCTCTTCTACGGGCTTCTCTTCCACGGGCTTCTCTTCCACGGGCTTCTCTTCCTGAACGGTAACAGCGACAGCAGGGGGCTTCTCGCAAAGATCATCGCCGTTTGCGGGACTAGGAGTCAGCGTGGTTGTTGTGCTACCCGGCTTACCAGGTTCGTTATCAACGATTTCGGCAGCGCAATTTGCCTCATTTGATTCACCATGCTGATCTATGTTTGGTTTATCGTCAGACAACAAGTTGGCCGAAGTGGTTTCAGGCAGGATCTCCTTTCTATCACTTACCTCTTCGTTGGAGTCCTGACCTGGGTATGAAGAGGAGGGATCGTTCGGCTGTTCAATGCTACTGAGGGTTCTTGTACAAGAAACCAGTTGCTCGTCCGCCGAGTCAGCCTCCTCTGCAACGCCCTCACCACTTTCTTGCCACTTGCTACTTGACTTAACACTTCTCCTACTCGAAGATGCTGTATCTGATGATGCTTCTGATGTGTTGCGCTGCCTACATAGCTTCAACTTCTGTATCTCTCCGGGTGATGCATCAGCCCTCGCTACTTTCCATACGGAACCGCCGTTATCCTCCTCATCTTCTGGTGAGTCTACCTTGGTGTCTCTCTCACTAGAGGAGACCTTCTCTTCGCGCCCATGCGGCATCTGCTCCAATTCTTTACTTTGTAGGCGCGTCTGTACGCTTGTCTCTTTCTCAACTTCCTTAGGTTGTACGGTGCTTTTAGCCGCGTCTTCGACAAACGAAGCATCCTGCTCGGGCGAAGTAGAAGGCGATCTCTTACTACGTCTACGTGTCGACTTCCTCGTCGGTTTCTCGACTTTCTTCTCTGGAGATCCCTTCGCTTTATTTCTTTCACTCTTGCGCCTCATACCTATAGAAGAATAACAAAATTATTATAATATATCATGTGCATATTTCATTAATAATTAATAAAATAATTAATCAACTATGTCAATTTTCAAGTTGTACCAATGTTTTCAAGCGAAATCTATCAGGATGTGGACTTGATATTAATTTTTTATATAACTTAATAATAAAACATTATTTATCTATGGTCACAAGTTTTGCGTTTTATCATCAATTGAGGCGTCAAATGCATACACACACACACACACATGTACGCTTGTCTGCCTCCATATTAATTTCGCGCGTCGCGATCTAATGCTGATTGGCGGAAATATACGTTCAGGATCATTAGATCACGATCTTATATCACTTGGATCGTCACTTCAATCATCTCCGCACCTCCTTTTACAGATCAGTGCTCGGGAATTCGTACGCATTGCCGTCAGCCAAGGTCGAGGTCTCCTTTGAACTCGTCGATCGATCTCTAACGCATTCCCGGTTTGTGGTTATCAGCGTAAATTCGCGCGCGAGCCTTCTCTCTCAGCGACGGCGATGACTGGCGACAGCGACGTTTACTCACTCGATCTCGCTGCGCTGCGTCCGTAAGTTTAATTAAAGGCCTCGTGTCCCTGCCGGCAGCCTCGGTGACACATAAATATGCCGACAAGAAATTCTGATCCCGACGACGCTATTCAACAATTCCTTCGTTCGTGCAAGAGCCACCATATCCATGAACCACGCGTATCTCTAGATGGGTGGACTCGATGGATATTTTTCACTCCTTATTTCGCATTTTTATGTTGAATAAAAATATTTATTATTTAATTATTAAAATGCAATATATAAAAATTTGCGCATCTTTTTATTATGTTATAAAAAATAAATAAAAATTTATTTAAAATATAAAGATATAAAAAACTATAAAAAATTAAATTCTAAAGTTAAAATATAAAAATATTTATAATTGAATTAATATAAAAATATTAATTAAATTCTAAAGTTAAAATATAAAAAATGTACATATTTTTCAAATAATTGTATAGATTATTCCGGAGTAAATTTCTAGCCAATCAAAATATAAGCAGTGTCTACTATTAACCAATCAGAAATTATTCGTGCATGTCCAGTTTACCGGTGATCTAAACTTGACCTAACTTAACAATATATGTATACTCGCATGCAGGAATTTATGCGAGTATATATTTGAAGAAATATTATCTAATATTTCTCTTACTCTGTAAATATCTCATAATATCATCAGCATTGGAATTGTCACGTATTTCTCGTGACAATTGTCACAGCAGGTGAAGACAATTGCAAGTATGGCAGCATTATTTCGTATGAATTGCGTACAAAGTTTGCGCAAGGGGTTAGCTCTGATGACACCCAAAGAGACGACGATATGTCGCAGGATAGCGACGACACCGAGATATCATACTGAAGTTGACGAGAAGCCGGCTGTCAAGAGAAAGTGGGTGAGTTATGGCTTCAGCGAGAAAAACGAAGCGGAAGATCGTCATACCCTGCACGTGACGATGTTCGTCATTGTAACTGTAGTCTTTGTGCTTGGAACCACCGTAATGGCTTATCTGCCAGATGTAAGAGGCAGGGACTGGGCGCAGCGAGAAGCGTATCTGCAGCTTCGTTATAGAGAGGAAAATGGACTTCCTCTCATCGATCCCAATCTAATCGATCCATCTAAAATTGTACTGCCAAGTGATGAAGAATTAGGTGACACTGAGATTATTATTTAAAGTTGTTGGTAATGCTGAGAATTTTTTGTTTGAAATTCAAGTGTCGTTGCTGCCTACCTGTATCAACTTAGTACTTGTTATAATATTAATAAAGGATTATGTGTATATAATAAATTCTGATATTACGGATTAAAATCTCTTTTCAAATTGATAAAACCAATGATATTGTACAATCTTTGTTTCTTTTCCTCAATTAAAATAAAATGTTTTGAATATAATTTTACACTACTGATTTTATGTATCTATTATTGCAAATTATTTCTATATAATTGAAATTTTATAGGCAATATGTAGAAAGTTGAACATAGTATAGATATATTTTTAGATTAGGAAAGAAATGTTTTGTGCTGCAATATACAATATATATATATTATGATCTTGTAATTATTTTATTTATGTACAATATTACAATACTAATTATATTATTTTCTTTAATACATATTAAAAATTTATCATGTATTCTTGGTATTTATGAAAGAAATTAAACTTAATTTTATTGATTCAAATCATACCCGAGCTTAGAACGAAATTAATCCGGTTCTATTTCACCAGCATGCTTAAAAATATGCTTTATTAAAGTGAAAATCACGTCCTCCTTTATCTAATTTTTAAGAATATGCACTTTACTGTATGGACGTTGATGTCAATGTTGAAGCAACACTGGTAGTGCTGATATCAGATGAAAATTGGTTTTGCTGTTGAACAGATGGATAGAAGGAAGTGTTTTGCGGGAGAGAGGCGCTAACTGTGATAGGTGGCATTCCTGGCAGTGAGATGGGTGTTGTCACAACATTAGACTGAGGAGGCATGTTAAATCCTGTGGTTACATTATAAACAGGATTTTGTTCTCTTTGCAGTCCTGGAACATTAACTACGCTCGCACCTTGTACAAAATTCTGCTCCATTTGCTGTCTTGGGACATTAATTGGTCCAGATGATATTGTTGCTTCATAAGAATTGGTGCTCGTAGGTAATGCTGTTGGTAATACCGGGATAGTTGGCATACCAGGAATGCTTGGAGTTGCTTGATAAGTGCCTAAATAATTAAATAAATAAATCAATAATAGTTTAAATAGTTAAATGATTAAAAGATATTAAAAAATCTCTGTTTTTTCTATTAAAAACTTCATATATGTATATAAAAATATGAAATAACATTTTGGAATAAAATTTAGTAAATCTCTTTAACAATATATACTTTACAGTAAATTAAAATTTTAATTTTCATAGAGAAATTATGAATAAAAAAACCTCTCTTAATTTCTTAAAATTCAGTTTGATTTAAATTTTGAGACTATTTACATAAAGAAATATAATTAAAATTTTATCATGCTTACCAGGTGTGAAATTAATAGGAGGTTGATTCGAAAACATATGAGGAGCCGAACTGGCTGGTGTGTAGCTACTAGCAGCACCAGTGAAATTGAGATGACTTGTTGTCTGTGCTTGGATATTTAATCCAGATATATTTTCAGCTAATTTACTAACTTCTTGTTCACTTTTCAAATTTTTCACATCGTGTTCAGAGTTATCCATTGGAGCGGTATAATTTGGCGGAATGGATAAACCGGGTGGTGTATTGATAATTGGATTAATTTCTGCCACAGTAGTTGTAGTGGTTGTTGCTGTTGCTACTTGAGTTTGTGTAGCAACTTTTACATTCTGAAATAGAAATAATCATTAGAATAAAATATACAGATAATAATATAATGCATATATAGTACTGTATATTCACAAAGCACGTAAAAAGTTATCTATTGCATATTGTTAATTACATACGTTTTTATTTTTAGATACAAATATTTATTCTGCTAAAATATTATAATAGTATAATGCAACTTCTTACCGCATATGAATTAGCAGGTTTATGCTCTGGTACACTTCTAATAGGTATTCTGTGCAGATATCCATATCCAATTCCACATCCTAAGCTATTAAATAAAAATACAACAATAATAGATACGTATGTACATACTGCATTATAGTTTTTAATAATCAATTGTATTTCAGACATTTTATAAAAAATCATGTACCTTCCTTCTCCACCCCATGTATTATTAGGTGTAATAGTTACTTCTCTGCAGGAATCATCCTGAATATTATATACATACAATTTAAGAGGTCGTGATTCATGTGCCTCTATTAAAGTGAATAAATCTTCAGTTTCATGAAGAATGGAGTCTGCACCAATGATGTAATCAGTAAATGGTTGTAAACCAGCCAACTCTGCGGGAGATGATGGATGTACTTCCTACAAATTCAAGCATCAACTTTTTTTCACTGTGAAATTATATGTCATTATATGAAATTGACATGAGATCTAACACACTCACAAGCACATGCCAAACATTTTCGTTGGCGCCTTCAAACGAACAAAAACGTATACTAACGCCCAATAAACCTTGTCCACCCCATGTCATACTTGGTACAATTTTTGTTCGTCTTACAGATTGTGTTTTACTACTATACACTGTAATTGTTAATTCCTTATTTACACCAGCCTTTAGTAGTTCCTTCAAAGTATCATTATCTTGATCCTATTAGAAGCAAATGCAGGATTTTAAAATACATATTCTATTACAATAATTACTCTGTAACTGTACAAGATAAGCATCTTAATCTCAGTAGAAATTAAACGTACTAGCCGAGTATTTCCAATTGCCACAATAAAGTCGAAAACTGCTTCAAGTCCTGCTTGCTGTCCAGGAGAACCTTCCTGAACCTGCAAAAAGAAAGATATAAATTATTATATATACATATTGCATGATTAAGATAAAAATATTTTTAACATATACTATAAATGAAATTATATTTCCTAATTTCTAATACATAACTTTACAATGACAATCAGGAATCATAGCAAATAAATTATCAATAAGAGAACATTAAATATATAAAATGTCAATGTATATATTTATACTTTAGATTTTTGAATTTTTTCATAGCAAAAACTAAAACAAATTATGCTTCATATAATTTTAAGTAGACTTTATTCTAATTATAATTTTAGATTTGATGAGAAAAGAAACATTTTACGTAAAAACTTAATAAAGCTTGTGAAAAATGTTGATTTTTCTTAACATTTTTATAAAAAAAGAAATGAATTTCGAATTACTTAAAGAACTTGTAATTGTTCTTCATTTTAAACCTGCAATATTATAAAGAAAGTAAAAAGACAATGAATATATTATGTATGGATGACATTTCTAGTAGTCAATATGTCAAATTTGCAGACAAATTGGGTTATGCAGACAAAGTCCGAATTTATATAGATAAGTAACATTTAAATAATACTTTATGTTGCATTATTGTTTGTATACGATATTTTAGTATGCAAATAAATTTTTAAAAAATGAATGACACATTTAGAGTAATTAGATGTTCTTGACAGATTAGCTTACCCTTAATACATGATAACCTTCTGTGCCGCCTCCCGGTATCTCCACGCTATGAGACAATCCCATTTCTGCCGAGAGCTTCTTAGGTAACTTGAGAGAAGCAGGTAAAAGACATTAAATCAGTTGTTGATCACGCGAGACACTTGGAGATACTTAAACAGCAAAAATACGTGGCAAGGATATTAGAACGCAACTACAATGACGTCACGACCGCCATGCGGCACAATCTGGTGATATTGCATGCTGGCCAACTTTGCCTTCCACATAATTCCTAACAATTTTTTTTTTTTTTTTATTAGAGAAATACAAATACAGCCTGAGGTTTGTCCTTCTTTTTACTAGCAATTACGTCTGATTTTCAAGAAATGTGCAGCCACGGTAAAGCGAAAGTCCTTCTAGAAAATTACATGATCGATGACATAAAGATTCAAATATTTTACAACGGAATTACAAAGTGAGTCGTGTCGTAGTCGTAACTATCGTCAGAATTGATCACAATCGTTATGGTGTGAAAAGTAGAGAAAAATATTGGATACTTCGAAGAGAATATAATAAGAATTGTGTATTGAGGGGTATAAAACTGCTTTTAAAATATTTAGTAAATTTTTCAAAGATCTTTAATGCAAGCTTTTATCTTTATCTTCAATAAATCGTGCAACCCTATGCAAAGAAAAAAATGCTTCATCGATTTATTATTAATTATATATATATATATATATATATATATATATATATATATATATATATATATATATATATATATGAATAGTATAAAGAAATAAATACATTAATAATAAATCTTTATATAAAATAAATATATATATATATATTTGTTATATAAAGATTTATTATTAATGTATTTATTTCTTTATATTGTTCTTTTTCTTATTAATATTAATTAATTTACAGGTAACACATAATCAATCATCATGGATATGACCATCAATAAGATTCTTAAAAGTTTAACGGATGCTGCATTACCATCGACTATTGAAGATCTCAAAAATCCAACACAAGACTCTATTATTAATTTGTTAACGGCATTTTTATCACAATTTAATATTGATGTGAATGTAATTTATCAGGTGAGAATTTGTAAATTACTTGCATGTAAATGTAAATGTTTATATATCATATGGATTAGATAAATTATTTCTTGAAATAAGACATGCACAAACATGGGTTTCTATTTTTATGTATCTTATTTATCTGAACAAATTTTTTTAGCTAATTTCAGAACAATATACTGTTATGACGTATTACGAGGATTCTGATATAGTTTATCTGATAAACTTACATGCAGTTGTAACACAAATATTTAATGAGATATTTCTAAATGATTTTTGTCTTAATGATATCACCAATCCAGGTATAAATTTTAGTTTAGATTTTTTTTTTAAATATATTTAATATTCTTGATAGTACAAATAAATTTTGCAGGACACAAACGATTTAAAAAACATGCAAAATATATTTCCAATTTTGTATTATATGCAAATCAAAAGAAGCTAGAATTTAGTGAGAAGAATAATCAAATTGAAGTAATATCAAGGCAATTAGAAGAACTAAAAGAAAGGAATATGCAAATTGTGAAATTGATTAAGAATAATGCTAAGCATAAATCAAATCAGTTACTTATGATAAAGAAAGTAATAAAAAATAATTCTACTTTTAATTAACACTTTGCTGTGACATACAATAATAAAATTATATATATATTTTTTATACTAGCTGGAAAGTGATATACAACATGTACTATCAGAAACGGAAATACTTAATAAAAAGGAATTGCAAATTGAATCAAGAAAAAATGAAGTAGAAAAAGAAAATCAAAGTGCCAAGGAGTCATGTTGTTTTGTTAAAACAACAATGGGAAAAGTAAATATCTTGAATCTTGATTTTTTATAATGATGTTACATATTTATTGCTAAAATATATGATAAAATTTATAATGCATGTACAATATAATTTTTTAGCTGTCTAAGAAGATAGTTGAATTACAGCCAGAAATTGTAAATTCACCAGAAGAATATCAATCCCGTTTAGATGAACTCAAGGTACAATATAAATTAAAATTAGAAAAGCGTGATACAATACAAGAAGCTATACAAGAGAAAAAACAATCCATAAAACAAATTGGAGAAAAACTAAATTTTGTTCCAAAAATGAATGATATGTTCTCTACTTTGATGGATACATATAAAGAGCTGATGTATGTTTTTATTTATATTTAGATTTTACATTATTATACATATAAATAATTATTAATATTCTATTTTATATAGAAACAAGAAAACAAAATTAGATAATATTAAAAAGCAAATTGATTTATCAAATAAGATATCAAATGAATGGCAAAATAAATTAGCAATGCATAAGGATCAAATGAGTACAGAAATGAACAAAGTACAGTTACATCGTGAAGAAGATATTGTTCCATTACTCAAGTTGCGTAACCAACTATTGAGGTAATACTCAAGTTCAATTGAAAAGTAACTTTTTTTAACGAGAACTTTAGAGATTATATTTCTTCATTTTTATACACACACTTCTTTGATTATGAGAATAATTAAAATCAAATAATATTATTAGCGAGAAAGAGGAACAAAAAGCCAAATTTGATACAAACCAAGCTTGCTGCAATGAGAAATACTTAAAAAAAAATCAATTACAAACAGACATTAAGAAAAAAGAGGAAAAATTGCAGTTTTTATCCACAATTGTCAAGAAGTTTATGATAATGAAATTGCTAAAGTGAGTTATATTAATCACACACTTATGTATGATAATTATATAATTAATTATTAAAATCTTTATGCTATGTATACATATAGTTGTGTGTATACATAATTTTTCAAGTCATATATGAACTCTATTATAATACATTTTTCAACAATAATTTTTTTTTTCAGGGACATGAATTATGGAAACATTTGGAGAAAGAATAGAATACCATTTAAAATTAATTTATTTTTTATTTACTATTTATTTACATTTATGACATGTTTAAGATATATTTAGATTATCAAATAAAAACTTAAAAATAAATATATAGATACTAAAATTAAATGTAGATATGTAAATTTTTGGATGATATTTTATAATATAATTTGATATTTAGAGATAATACTCTATATAATATGCGTATTTTGCTGGAAGTTTTATTTTTATTTTATTTAATAAATAATAGATATTTTGGTTAATTATTTTAAATATAAAATTTCTTTTACATCAAGATTAAATTTTTATTGTGTATTAGTATAATTTTTAATTTTTAGAACGATTTATTTCATCGATTTTTTTCATAAATGTGAAGTTGGGCTTTTTTTATTGGGTGCATGTAGTAGTAAAAGTAAACTAGCATCTAGCATGTAACATGAATATTATCATTTTTGTGACATTAAGTAGTTAAAGCTTCTCCAAGATTTTTAAGAAAAGCTCATTAGTCAAATGAAGTTAAATTGGGAAATGCGGAATGCAAATCATTAAATGTAAATCGAACGTGAATTTTTATCAGTAGAAATACGAAGCGTCTACAATTGATAAATTGTCATTACCACAAAGAGGCATCAACCATGTGGATTTTTTGTGTAAGAATTGTTTTTGCTAATTTTAATTGATATATTTAATCATATGTATATATATGTATATTTATTTATGTGTTTATATTTATATATAACGTTATTGTTTTAAATACAGAACGAAAAAAGATCATAGATTTTCACAGAATTTTAAAGTTTTTTTTTAATTTAATAATTTGAAATATTTTTGTTATAGGCATTAATAGGACTCTTTCAACTTGTAAGTCTATTAATGTTGTCTGGTATTCTATTTTCTGTCGCTGCCGTTTCACGTTTGATGGAAATAACGATTATTCTGATATATCCTACAGCTGTATTTTTGTTGAGGCAGTCCGCAAATTTAATCGTTGTGAGTATAATTAGACAATTTAAATTTTCTACTAATTAAAAAAGTTTCTGTATCCCACCTATTTTTGTTTTTATTTTTAATCGTTTTATTTTATATAATTTTAATTTAAAATTATTTTAAATTTCTATTTTTAAAATATTTCTGTTTTCTATTATTAAATATCTTATTAAGCAACATACATAATCAAGACCACACAGGGCCAAATAGCCCCGTGGTCAGTTAATTTTGAACACCTGGTCTTGCACAGCTTTTAACAATCCTGTCGGCAAGAATGACATCCTCGGCGTTTCAGAAACTGTGCGCACTAGTTAAATGTGATCAGTATCCGATTGATCAATCGGAAGGGATTCCTCAGCGAGAAAGAATCACTCTATCGCCGGAGATGGCTCAGCTTCTCGATTCGGAAACTCCTTTCGTGCCATACAAAAAAGTGTTCTTGAAGAAATACCAGAAGACATTTTATCTTCAAAAGACAAATTTTCTATCACATCATCGACTAACTATGATATTGATCCTGTGATCGAACCTTTGCAGAATCAATCACAGGATAATAATTTAATAGAAGAATCAACTGCATGCAAAGATATATAATTGATTGCCAATAAAAAATGAACTATTTAAAATAAAAAGGATATTTTTATAAAAGAATTATACGAAAACAATTTTTCATCTAAATATGAAATACATATATATTTTTTTTATGAAATAAATTGCATGGAAATCTAGAAGAATGAAATTTTCCTGGGTTTCATGAAAAAAGTGCAAAATTACTTTAATAGATATACTTACTGCTTATAAATGAATGTGTAAAAACAAACGCAGCGAGATACTCAGTTTATTGCTACGTTAGTACGATTGATCGAAATTGCATCAAATTAGTTGACAAAATTTTATATCCGCTGCAATTCATATATTAAAAGAATTTTGTATATCAAAATGTAATGCCTTATATGTTATATAGTCTTTTATTTATATTAAATTTTTAAAAAATTAGTTTTTTTCATAAATTATTGAAGAAGAAATGGATGTGAGTCGACGTTCTCAGATAAATTTATTGTAAAATTGGACTATTATAAATATTTTTAATAATACAGCTGGAGACTATGTTGATGGATTTGAACGAAAAAATTCCTTGTTTGCGACACATTCTTCGTCCGGAATATGTTCCGTATTTCATCACAGTTGCAACAGTGTTGATAGGATGGCTGCTTGTTTCTTGGATATTTCATGTATGTATCTAAAATTTATTCACAACTAATTTATAATTAATCATAATTAATGTTTATATAGTTAATTTGGATGTTACTCGCTCCTTTAACAATAAGCGCCATTGCCATAGCGCTAATATGTCCAGCAAGGAAATTGTGTTTCCAACAACTGGGAGCAAATTTAGAAGAAATAATGAACGATTTTGTCCATAAATTTCAGACATCTCGATAATGCTATATGTATATATATATATATATATATATAAAAATTTGTAATAATATAAACTTTTCAAACTATAAGAGAATACTCATTTATATCTACATTATGGATCGAATAATTTGTTCAGTTGATACTGCAAATCTTAATAAATAAAGCAAATATCTTCTTTAAATATTTAGCCACAGTAATTATGACATTTGATGTCAAAATGCATCATTTGGGTATTCATTTCTGGGTATAAAACAAATAATATATATATATATATATATATATATATAGATTTATTATATTGTATACACATTTTTAAATTGTAAAATTAATGATTTTTCTATATGTGCTGAAGTTTTAATTGTCATATGTATATTTGTAGGTAGATTCGTCAATTAACAACATGAATTTGTTCATAAAAACTAATGAAAACGTTTCGAAAAATTTCAACCTCGAATTCGACAACTCTAAAATTGATAAGCATACGATCAGAAAACAAATCACGTGTGTAAATATGTCTCATATTGAAAGAGGACTACATCAGACGAAAAATATATAACAGAAAGGAAAATCACAGAAATGGGAGTACAGAGCTCTAAACGGTGAGTGCTTGAATTTATAAATTGCATTTATGAAACGAAATAATATTTCATTATATTTATTAAAAGAGAACATTTTCTTAACAATTTACAATATGTATATGTATAAAAAAATAAAAAAATTATTAGACAATTAAAAAAAATTAATAACGATATATGTAAATAATAATATGGTTATACGTGTTTACATTAAATCAAGTTACAAATTATTTCGGCATATGTATGATGATTTAAAAATTCGAAAGCTTGTCCTATTCTTCTTTTCATTTCATATTTTCGACTTCGGTTTTTGTAAGTGTTTGCTGAATGCTTTCCACTGGTAATCCCTTTGCGGTTTCTCTCTGTTCGCCATTCTTCAATTGAATGGAGCTAGCCTCTCGCTTTTGATTGTTAGAGATTTCGTTTAGATTTGAAAGGGCTTCTTGTGGGCTTGTATTAATCCCCTCAGAATCTTGTGAATTCCTATAAAATGGTCCCCCTGTGTTTACGGTGACCAACGGTACACTACTATAGGGAGTGTTTTCCTTGGAGTAGTAATTTGTCTCAGGATAATAGGTAGGGCTAATATATACTGGACGATACGATTGATACGAATCAGGTTCATATTTATAAGAATACGATTGATACGAATCAGGTTCATATTTAGAAGGATAGTTGGGAGAACTATATATGGCAGGTTGCACTTGCACTTGTACAGGATACAAAGGTTGCTTTTTTTTATGATGCCTTGCTTCCTGCAAAAAAAATAATTTGATATTCATTATTGGTGTATAAATCGTATTTTATAATATAGTTAGTATATTCTAATTTTTTCATAGTTGGAATGTATCTAATATATATATATAATCAAGCAAATAATTAAGGCATCCCAACAAATGGTATAAATAATACAAATGGAAAATATATATATATATATATATATATATATATATATAGTTTTCCATTTGTATTATTTATACCATTTGTAGTTGGGATGCCTTAATTAATTGCTTAATTAATATTTCGCTTTATACACATCAAAAGATTCCAAACGCAACACAATATTTTAAACATTACGCTAGATTATGATAGAAATATAAATTATAGGGAAATATATAAATTGGGAATAGGAGGGACAACAATCGAGAAGGTTTTATATATGAGAATAATTCTTTTTATTTTATAAACAAATAATACATAAAGACGTTTCGTTGAAGATACACGTTCGATACAACGTTATAGACGTTGAATCAAAATATACAATTTAATCTTTAAGTCGCTTGGTCCAATTTCCTTAACGAGGTCATCGAGGATATAAAGAGTTAAATCTGTGCGTGAAATCAAATATTATGTTTCAGATTTCTCAATCAAACTGCCGGATCTTTTTTAAAGAATCTCTTTATTATAGAAATTCTCCATGAAAGGAATAGAATTGCGTAAATAGGAATCTTTTGATGCTTCAAGGTTTCCTCGCTTTGCTAAGAATTGCACAGTTGGAATCGCACGATATCGCTCATTTATCATCCCAAGATTAATGTGGATGTCGGGTTAGAATCCAATATCGGATCCAAGTTTAACTCGTCTACTCACCGCTTCTCTGGTCTGTGTAAAAATGGGCGATGCGCTATCACTTTCTATGTTGGGATTGTATTGCATGGACATAATCGGGGAGGCTCTAAAAGATGCGCCGCTGCTAGGATATAACTTTACTTGATGCTTGTAGGGCCTGGTTCTCGTAGGATACTGATGTTCGGTTCGACAACTGCACTCATATTCTTGCTGAGGTGCTTCTACATACTGTGCAATGATAGAACATATATTATAAAAAGATAATATTTTATGTAGTATTGATACTTTGTGAGATATAATAATCATTAAAGAAAAGTTTGCAAATTTAAATAATTAAAACTACAAGAGAGCTCTTAAATTCAAAAATTTAATAATTCTTTAAATTGACAAATCTTTTATAACAACGTTTGATACCTCGACTAATCTTGCCGGCTCTTCTTGACGAACAGCCACAGGATAATATTCCACAGGAGTCGGTGCAATTATCAATTCGGATTTGCAGGAAGGAGTTACTATAGGTGCAACTTCCACTCTCTGTTTCAAAATCGGCAAGTTTTAAATTGCGAAGAATATTCATTATCAATAATTAATTACTTCTCTGTTAATTTAAAGCAAACTTTAATAAAATAGCATAATAATTAATTTAATTCAGTTAGAGAGACGATTAGTAATTTTAATTTAAATAATTCAATTTTTCCAAGTTTTTAATCCAGATATTCAAAATTAAATTTTTATTAAATATTGAGTTTCCAGAAGTAATTATCTTTAAATTTATATCATCTACTGGCTTTTAATTTTTATATTATATTCATATTATATATAATTATGTATATATATATATATATATATCTGAACTTATTCTCTTCTTACCTGTGGCACCGGCTTTTCTTTCACTTCCACTTTCGGTTCCAATACTGGCTTAGATTGCGGTTGCGGTTCCGGTTTGGGTTGAACGATGTGGACTGTGTGAATCTGTTCTTGCGGTGGTTGAGGCTTTTGGGGTGCATGTTCACAGGGTGGAGAGACGGGAGCCGGAATGATGTTAATGATTGGCGTTGGAGCAGGAGCTGTTGCAACAGGCTGTATTACAGTCTGATGCGATTTTTGAGGCGCTGGTTCTACAACGGAGGGCTGTTGCGATTGAACCTGGATGAACTGTGGAACTGGCTCAGGAACTTGATAATAGTTCGGCTGAACAACTATTTGAGAAGGCTGTGGTTGCGATGGCACCGGCTGGACCAAGACATTTGAAAGTGGAAACTGTGGTGCTGGTGCGGTTTGCACGACAGCATATGATGGCTTGATATTTGGAACCGGATATTGTTTTATCTCCTGGTTCCTACAAGGAACTACCTCTTCTTTTCCCGAGCGGAGTTCCACGCAGAAAGTCGTCGACTTCTTTGCCCTATCCTTGTCCGCACCGGTATCTTCTGGATTGAGGGTTTCTTCGGCGAGCTTGGTCTCCGTCTCGCTGATCGACTTCTTCTCGATTATCTTAGATGAGGGTGCGGCCTGGCAGGCGACTAACGCCAGCAGGAATAACGCGCAGCAAGTCTTCGAATGCATCATTTGCTGGTCGAAATCGCAGTTGAAACCGAACTGATGAAGCACGACGAGCGCGTCGCTTTTTTAAGGGAATCCGCGACTAGCTGCGAAATCGGAGTTGACGAAATCATTCACGTTGCTTGCGAAATTATGCGAGCAATTCGATGCATCGGCAAATTTCAATGCATGATTAATCAATATACATCTCCTCATCATTATTGCGTGATCGTAGAATCGCGCGTGACCATATCATTTTATATAGGTAAAATGAAATTACTTTACCTAAAATTTTACTATTTTGTGTAGAGTTACATGAATTCTCGTGTCTTTTGTCATTATGCATATGCGATAGCTAAATAGAATAACAAAGAATATAAATATAATTTAAGAGATCTTTAAAATAAAATAAATTTAATCTTTTTGTCATTACATATTTAATTTTACATTTAAATAAGTAGAACAGAATTAACAACAGAATTAAACAATATTTTATGTTGTTCCTTAATAAACATCTTATTTTCACATAATCATTTTTATTCCAATTCTTATATCCAATTCTTTTATTATATAGTTTCTAGCATTTATTAGGAAGAGTATTTAAGGCAGAATTTATGCAATCTCATATAATATATAACATAATAAAACAAAAAATTGAAGGGACAGTAGTAGGAAGAAAGTCTTGTACTTATTTAGATGTGTAATAAACATTTTTTAAATTTGTATTAATTGCATAATTATACATACATATATACAATATATTTTCTGAATTTTTCTTTGCAAATTAATTTGTTTTTATGAGAAAATACGCATATTACAACAACGCTTGACAATTTGCTGCATATTATTAAACACTTGCAAAACTGCATTACTTAATTGCATTTTTATACATGTTGCAACAGGATTACACATACATACACATCTCCACTTTTATTTTTTTACGCATTTCTTTTTGCTTATACGTTAAATTCCGCTAGCTTGACGAATCCAATAGGCACGATGAGAAACGTATTCGTTTTTTATATGCAAAAAATTTATATAGGTCAGCATACAATTCGTTCATTCATACGAATGTTCGACAACATTTTTTTATGCGTTTACTTTTTATTATATATTTGTTAAAAATAAGAACAGAAATAATTCGAAAAAATAAACGAAATTATATATATAAGATACAAATTGCAAAATTTGTTCGAAGATAGATTTTTAACTTAACAAAATGTATTTTTTAAATAAAATAATAGAATAAAATCAAAATGTTTAAATCTAATTGTCTAAAAAATATCTTCCAATTATATTAATTTTTTTACATGTATTTTTTACAACTTGAATTTAAAATGGTAATAATTTATAAGATGAAATAGGAAATAGTACAAGGCAAAATAAGACCGCATAAAAATAATATTCTTTGAATTTTTTATTTATTATTATTATGTGATAATAAAGTTATATAGAAGCTCTTTTTATATATATATATATTACGGAAAATCTATCTAAAATTTCTTTTTTGAACAGAACATAATTCTCAATTAACTATCGATTAGGAACTTTATATTGTATTATTTATTGCATTAAACATATAGAATTATTATTAATTAAATATTAAATAATAAAACTAATAATTAAATATATTTATTTAAAAAAAAACAAGTTCTTTTAAATTAAAAAATTTGTCTTAAACTAAAGAAAAAATAAAATTTTATCTTATCTTATAATATAAAATTTTATTTTATCTTATAATATAAAATTTTATTTATCAATATATACATTTCTGAAGCAATTATTTTAAATAGTTTGAAACTTAAAACTATGGATTTCTTCAGACGCATTTTTATTAAGAAAAGGTTATAGAATTTAAAAAGACTTAAGATAAAAAATGATTCACTAAGATACATCATGTATAATGTTAATAATTTTTTGTTATTGCTTAGGTATGGAAAATTCTGTAAGGGATTCTATTGATGTCGGTTCGGTTGGTTCTAGTGGAAGATCTTCAACATCATCTAATAGATCAGGATCAAGTCTCGTCAAAAACTGAGTGTTAATCAAATCTTGGATATCCGCGTCCTGAGTAATATCTTCGTCCACAAAGAACCTGTCATCCATTTCTTCCATAGGATTTGCACGTAATATATTACTTTTAGCTTCGGGTATTTTCTGTATTTCCGAGGAATCGATAGGATACTTCGCATCATTTAAATTTTGAGGAAAGATGTGAGCATTATAGGCATTAATTATGGGTGCGCGATTATTACTAGTTTGTGTTTGACTTTCAAGGATCATATCATCATATTTCTCATTCTGAAAGTACTTATCATTATTTTCTTCAGGATATATTTCTAATTGATTCATCTTTTGTGAGTTTTTGCGCGTGAAATCCAAGTTATCGAAAAGTTCTTCATCTGGTATTGTCGCCCAAGTATTTGTATTCTGTTGAAGAGCATAAGGATTATATCTATTTTGTTTAGTCTCGATGGTATCCTGTACAGTCTCGTCTTCAAAATATTCCTGATTCATGTTTTCCTGCTCCGCGAATTCTTTATGCTTGCCTTTTTCGTTTTCAAAATGTTTGATATTCTTTCTCATCGTTGGAAACACTTGCAGCCAATTTTTTCCAGTTTCCTGCAATCGATTATTTTTTGCTGATTCCTGGGAGTCCTTGTATGAAGCGTAATTCCAATCATCGAAGGTCTCTCTATTATCCATCAATTGCTGAGTATCTAAATTCTTAGGAAGCATATAAGACTTCTCGATTTGTTTATTATCTTCAGTAATAATTTTTTGTTCTTTCGAAGGATACATTTCTAAAAAAATATTTTCAGCTTGTTTTAACTGTTCCAGATTTGAAGACTGTGATGAATCTTTTATGTCGTCCCAATTATCGAAGAACTCATCATTTTTTATCGGCTTCCAAATATTTACATCTTCAAAGGGATGATCGTAAGAATCACTTTTAATTTCCGGCAGACTGAAATCTGCGGAATTAAATTCTTTTCGAGGATATGTAAGACTGTATTGTTGATTAACAAGATTCGGAGATTTCTCGATCGTATTTCTACTTTGATCGAAGATACGAGAAACCGGACCTCGACGAGATTGGAAAATATTTTCGATCTTCGGAATGAATTTCTGTGGCAGAATGACATTTGAAGAAGAAGAGGCGTCTCTTGAATTCAGAGGCTCTGCGTCTCTATCGGCACGATCAACGACAAGCATTTTGCTCGTAGGATCCTCTTTGTCTTTTATATTATTCTGAAAGTTGTCATCTTCTAACGAGGAGCTGAAATATTTATTACGAGGATTTCTAAAAATATTTTCTGATCGGAAATTTTTCGACGGAGAAACGCGAACAAAAGGATTTCTATCCGCAGATTTATCCCGAGAAAACATTTCCCGTCTGTCTAATAATTTTGGAAACTTATTAAGAAAGTTTTTGAAGAATAAATTTCCGTTCGCGGATTCTTGTGGAGAGCTCTTGTAGTTTCCAAAGAATGCTGAACTTTTATTCGGTAGAATATCATCACGGCGTGTTATGTCCTGGGGAATTCCTTCTTGTATTGAAGTAGAGTGAATAGAATTTTGGAGCGAATTGACGGGAAAATCTCGTAGCACTCTTGGCTGCAAATTTGATTCTTGACCTGGATGCCTGGAACATTTTTGCAAATTTTTTACTCTTTAAATTCAGAAAACAAACTTCTAAAATTTTAAAAATTTGAACTTTCAATCTTTTAAATTCTTATATTTTTTAAATATCTGAATTTTAAAATTTTGTACTTTGTAAATCCTTCGAATCTGACATAACATATCTCTAATACACCTTGAAAATTTAAGTTTTAAAATTCTTAAAAAAATTAAATTCTTATAATAATACTAAAGTAAGGCTTCCTATATTGATAAATAAGATAAATTCTTATATTTAAATTATCCTTACCATGGTAGCTGAACAGTTAAGGCTTCTGGACAATCTTGACTGCACGAAGGACAGGAAGCTCGTCTAGGAACTCTTCGCGACGATCCGCAAATTAGGATCGCGCTCACGGATAAATAAAATAACAAATAGCAATGAAAAATTTGTCTCGACATACTTAAAAGATTCAAGCAGTGAATTTGTTACAGCTCTTTATAAACTTGTATACGAAGGACACGTGGTGCTGAGAACAAAAATGTTTTCTTCATTGCGACAAATCATTTACCCGCTTTTTACATACATCCGTCAACTTTGAAAAGAACTGCTTATTTGTTTAATATTTCATTATTTACTTCCGTTTTCTTTTAATTTTCAGACAGGATACAGGTGATGACATAATATCACAAAAGTCTCTGGATGCAGTGAAAGAACTTATACATTTTTTGAAAGAACGTAAGAACATGTAGTTTATGTATTACACAAAATTTGTATTTTCATATATGTAACTTAAAATTTTTTCAATTCTGATTAGATGCTAGAGTGGAAGGATTATTTCGTAGGGCAGGACGTCGTGAGCTTCGACAGTATATTCTTAATTCCCTAAAAAAAGGTCATAAGCCGCACTTTGAAGATCCAAACAATGTAGCTCTGGAATGCGCAGCAGCTTTACAGATTTTTCTCAGTCATTTAAAAAAGCCTATTATGCCGCAACATGTGCAAGAATTGATTCTCGGTAAATAAATGACGAATAAAAATAAAAATTAAGAATATATTTAAATTATATGAAAGAATAATAATGATGAATATTTTTTTATAATCGCAACTTATTTGTCGTTTAAAATCGCAACGCGAAAACGCAATACTTATCGACAAACATATTTATAAATTTATCGTCAGCGAAATTCCAGTTCTGGAATTACGCTGACCACATGTTTCGAATTACGATATCATGATGTCAAACTTAAGACATCAAGATTAAATTGTTGACGTCAGAAACAAGAATTTGCAATTAATTTTTTCTTTCGTCTAATTTTTCATAGATTCTTATCAATTTTTTAATTTTCAATATTAGATATTTCAATAACTTTTGATATATTTCTATGTGATACGTAAATAAACTTTAAATATTTCATGTTTGATTAGCTGACAATCCAGGTATAGAAGCACAAGTTATTGCGCAGGATGCTTTAGGACTTATTAGACAGGATGTCGGTGGTCGTCATGGCGAGCTTTTGATTGACGTCTTAGATCTTTTAAGACACTTGACTTTAGCAGGACCTCCATCTGAGTGTTCAGAACTGCGCGGATCTCCCTTGCCCATTGCTCTTTTGCCAGTGTTTTTTAATCTATTGGTGATAATATATTTATTTTAATTCAATATTACAGACGTTCTATTAAATTAAATTTAATCAATAATTAGGAATTAAAATGTTTTATTCTTTTATATATTAATTTTTTCTGCTTTTACTTTATATAAAAAAGTTATGCATTTAAATACAACTTTGCAGAACAAAAAACATTTAAAACATTTTTCTTTTGAAATCATTTCATGCCAATTTTATTTTACAGCCTGGCGATTTGATACGATGGAAGCAAGTAGCAGCTAGATTTAATGAATTAATTACGGAAGCCGCCACGCAATTTCGTCGGAATGAACAGCGTGATATTCATACGGAAACTATGCTAAATTCTGCGACAAATTATGCCAATGTAAGAAATTCTTACTGGAGAAGAGCAGTTAAAAACCAGTTAGAAATTTTTCGTCTTGTATCAACTTTTCTACGACTCGCACTACGTGGTTGTCTTAGTTTTAAAATAATTTTTGATGAGAGAACTAAAGAAAAAAAGAACACCTCCAGTATCATTTATCATGTATTTTTAGATAACGTCGGTTTCGCTAGAAGAGTCAGAAGAATTAACGAGATTGCAAGAACTTTCTTTATTATATCCTCTCGTTCGACTCACAGATCATTGTAATGCTTGTAAGATATTTATATTTGTGAAAAATTTTGTAAAATAGTAATTTTGATATGTTAATCTTATGAATGGCTTTGTAGAAGATTTAATTCAATTCATTTCTTATTAAATGAATTTCGTAGTATAAACGAATAGCATCTGTTGATGATTCAATGTAAAATTTTGCTAACAGGTCATATTGGCGAGATGGCACGTGTCCTCATTACACCGTTACAACATCCGGTCGTCAGCAGATTACACTCGATAATAGTTAATCCTAATTAAGTAAAAATCGAGTAAATATGCAAATTATTTCGGGTTATAAATCATTATGTCCATATTGTTGCAATTTTGTTTATGTTAATTATTAAGTGACTCAATTGTATCTCAATTAAAATATTACGTTTGTCGGTAAAATGTTATATGCTGGCCAATGAAGAATAAACACATACTTATTCATTATAAAATTAACGCAAACATAACTATATCTGTAATAGTGAAGATATATTCACATTTGAAGAAATATGAACTATGTATTTGCAACACATATATTTTTGAGTGCTTCTATACATCAAACTGCAAATAAAAATTTGATACACTTAATAAACGCTTATTATAACTTACAAAATACAATTTTGCATGATAAAATTAATTTATTACTAATATACAAATAAAATGCAAGTGACAATAAAAGTAATTTGAATGTAGTGGAACCTAAATGTGTAAATATCATGATCTAAATTATAGTTATCCAAAAGTATTTTAAAATTTGACTTTACGCCATTTTCGGAATGGCTTAGACCAGCTCCTTTATAGGTATTGCTGAACTTAAACTGTGCAATATAATTGGAGTGTGACATTTCGAAGTGCGTTCGTCGTACACGATATATCGAAACAGAAATAAAAATAACTTTATAAGTCTATGTATAGAACTATGCATATGTATATGGGACGTCCCAAGAAATGCTGTAATCAGTTACCGATAGACATATTCCTTCAATAAATTTTTAGTGATTTCCCCTTATTTGAATTAAAATCATTAATAATAATTATATTTTAATCATTTATAAAAGATTTATTTTTCTTTTATAAAAATACTGATATTCTATTTATGGAGAAACCAGATTAGTATAATAAAAAATTTATTATTAGTTATATATATAATGTTATTATATCTAGTTTATATATCTACATCTAGTTTACTTTAAAGTTTTGAGCAATTAAACTGTTGATTAAGTTGTTAATATAGAATAATTCATTGAAAGAATATGTCCTTGTTTTACAAATTCGTGCATTCTCCGGGGCAATCTGTATATACATAGACGTGAGAAATAGAGAATATCACTTGAATGTTAACTAAATCGACGAAGAGCTGCCGCAGCACCCGAGATCAACTTGTCGTACTAGTCTTGTGGCTACGACCAAGAAAACCACGATCGATTCTGTTGCGTGGGCGACTTCGGCGTCGGCGATGTTGGCGCAGGCGAAGTTGGTGTACCAGGTGGCTTTTCGTTTAGCTCATTTCTCAATCTGACTTTCTCGTTTGTCTCGGTCTGCATCTTCTGCTCGTACTGCCGCACGTCTTCTAAATTCATGTCGTACCACTCGTCAATCCAAGCAAAGGCTTGTCTGTGACCCAGCAGCAGGATATCCCTTATACACTAAAATTTTGAAAAATTAAATAGTAAATATCATTTTTTGATGTTGCATACACAATTCATATGCAAATTGAATCAAACATAGAGTTTGTTCCTTATTGCTGTACTGGTGAATTAGCGTTATAAGTTCAAGTGAGAAATATATTTTGTTTCACTCTAATTTACCGCACCAGTGTATACTAGTTCACCAGTGCAGCAATAAAGAACAAACCCATTAATGCAATCGACATTCAACATTTTTTAGACAATCTCGATCTTATTGATATTTGATGCTATTATAAAATAATATTAAAGTGTAAGGCAAGTAAAAAGCTAACTGGATAAGCTTACTCTATGTATAAAATCTTCTACTCGTGTCTGCATGCCCCAGACTTCGAACGACGCGTGAACTAATTTGTACGAACACATTATGGGTTGTGTTGTATCTCTCCAACCTTCAACCAGAGGACCACGTCCTGTTCGTTTTGATTGAAAAAACTTTGGATCCTGTTGCAAGTATTAAAATAAGTGTCTCATTTAGGATAACATGTTAAAAATTAAATGCATAATTTAAAATGAATTTGATATTGTGTAAGCTTACTTCTTCTTCTTTATAATGTTTTGCAGAGATCTCATCATATGCAATGTCAACGAAATCAACTTCCCGATGAATCAATTCAATGGGTGACAATTCTAAGCACTATAATTTAGTAATAGAATTATTATTTACTAGTAACATTAATATATTATATAAGAGTATATACTATATAAGTACATTATAATACAAAAAGTATGTGTGACAGAGATGCAATAAGTTACTTACATTCTCTGTGGAACCATTGTTGTTTTCATATCGAGTATTTATTGCTATGTGAAACTTTGGTATAAAGGAACACTGAAAAAGAAGAATTTGAAAATAAAATTTAGGGAATTTTATGACAATTCTTATACTGAATATTACTCACAGTGTATTCTGCAGTCATCAAGAACAAATATGAAAGAAAAAGAACAATATATATATTAATAAGTACAAATTTTTTAAAATTGAGAACATAAAATTTAAATATCATTATTTATGTATTAATTTTTATTTTTAAATAAATTATTTAATATATAAAATTAATGATGTTTCTTATAGGAAAATCATCTACTATGAAACTTAATAAAAAGATCAATTGATACAGTAGGCTATATATACATATATAAATAAAACAGAATACCTGTTATAGTAAACGGGTAATAATTCCATGCTTTCTCCGTCACATAAAATATTCGAGGTAGAATAGATTGTATCCAGTAAGGGAGTTTACTAAAAGGAAAATAAAGCATTATAATACTTGTCATAAGAAAGTAAAGATAAAATCATTATATAATGTTTAAGCTGTCTATATGTATTTCATAAAAACATTTACCTGGAAAGATGAATCCTTTTTTCAGTGTACTGACCCTTTCCATGGACAGGATCTTCGCAGGCAGAATTTTCTACTACTTCTACTCCTTCATCGTTATCAGACTGTTCATGACTATGTCTAGCAATCATATATAACTGACCAATGCGATACTGAAATGAAATTGATTGATTAGTATGAACAGCAATTTTTAAAAAGATTAAGAAAAGAATAAATAAGCGCGTCAATATATAATAATAATAATAATTTTTAGGTAAGTAGAAAATCTTATTATCCGCATACATAATTAAATGACACAATAACATAAATAAAAACTACCTCTTCCGTGGTGAGCGGCATGCAAATGCGATACTCCTTCGTGAGAACCATTCTCTTAATTATTTAAATACTTAACAATTAATCACAGCAATATTAACTGACTTTAGATTAGCGAATATCCTCGCTGAAGAATCCTCCTGTAAAAGAAAGAGAAAAGGCAAGCTTTCGAATTTTTAGCGTCTAATCAGCGTTCGATCGTAAACAATCCGAGGTAACGGAGTGAAGTTCGCTGCCTCCCGAACAGATGATCGATGAGCGGACGGGCAACTTGAGGGTGCGAAAATCACCGCTCGGCGATTGGCGGCAGCGCGAGACGTCAGTCTGGCCAGATCGGCGACAATTTCACGTGTTACGTGTACAAAAATCGTGCGGACAACAAATTCGTAATACGATGTGCAGATAACATTGTCGCGCTGGTGCAACATGCGATGGTGAAGCGGGAAGAAGAGGCTAAGAAGCGGCGAGAGTGCGGGTCTCTGCGAGGTCTCAAGGAAGGAAAGCGGGCGGAAGATCGCCGATAATCAATGCCAATGGCCTACGAAGCATTATGGCACGAGTACATGCAGATGCCTGTGGTAACGCGGGCTTACACCACAGCCTGTGTCATCACGACCCTTGCCGTGGTACATATATTTTTTCTTCTTTTTTTTCATCCCGTTTTCTCCTCCCTCCTTTTCGTCGCGTCTGACAGGTCCACGTATATCGCTTACGTTGTCATCTACGAACTGTCATCGGTTCTTTTGGGCGCATAGATCTCGGAGTATCGCAAGGATATTTTCACGATTCGTAGAAGCCTCGGATTTCTAGATTTCTAAATTCTTTAAGACACTTCTTATCCCATTATTTCTTTCATTTCTCTTCGCAGTTTTAGATGATGTATAAATCTGCGATATCTTTTTGTGGGATCATTAAATCTTATACGTTTGATAACTTTATATCAGTGCAATCTCTTTGCTGTCTTTATATTTAATAATTGTACAAACGAGATGATATCTAATAAAAATTCTATAAAAATAAATACAATTTTTATAATCACAAATTTTAGTTAAATCAATAATAAACTTTGTTGTACAATACGCATTGATATATATTTGTGAATTAAATATATTTGATTGTAATTGCTTAAATATTTCAGCAATTGGACTTGGTGTCTCCATTTCAACTGTATTTCAATCCTATTCTAATTGTGGAACAGTACCAGGTATGAAAAAACAGATATGCAAATAACTATGATTAAGCATTTGACTTCATTACATAGGACAGTCCAAAAGTCATTATAGATAAAAACTTGCATATGTGGATTTATATTTTTCTCTTTATTTTATTATATTATTTATTACAAAAGAGAAAACTTATATAATATTGTTAAAATGTAACATAATTGGCTTTAAAAATTGAGTTTAGAATTATATTAACCAATATTCATTCTAAAAATTTATTAAAATAAGGTCATTTTGAATTATTACAGATATGGCGATTAATAACAACATTCTTGTTTTTTGGAAATATTGGGTTCAATCTACTGTTCAATATGATATTCACATATCGATATTGCCGCATGTTGGAAGAAGGATCCTTTCGCAGAAGAACAGCTGATTTTGTAATGATGTTTATTTTCGGCGGAATATGCATGATTGTATCCTTTCAAACATATATAATTTATTATAATAAGTAACATTGTTACTCAGAGATTAAGATTGTATCATTGAAAATATTTTTGTCCTTTTTTACTATTGTTATTCCTTAACAATCTTAACAGACTTTTGCATTCTTTGTCAATTTGCTGTTTCTGGGACATGCATTCACAATAATGTTAGTGTATGTATGGTCGCGACGAAATCCTTTTGTCAGGATGAACTTCTTCGGACTTTTAAATTTTCAAGTAGGCCTAAAGCACATGATTTAGATATCATTATTTATTGTTTATGATGTTACAATTTTTGATATTACAAGATATTACTACTATTGATATTATTTTCAAATTTTACAGGCTCCATATCTACCATGGGTATTGTTAGGTTTTTCTGTATTGCTTGGTAATACAATATGGGTCGATCTTGTTGGAATGGCGGTAGGACATACTTATTATTTCGCGGAGGATGTATTCCCGCGGTTAAGAGGCGGTTTCCGGATTTTGAAAACTCCACAAATACTGTAAGTGCTATAATTGTTATGCAAAATTAAAAATATTAATTAATAAAATTATTAATCGAGAAATTTTTTATATTAAAAAGTGTTATAAAATTGAGTAATATTATATAACAAATGAGAGACTATTAGTGAGAGATAATACATAATTTTTTTCTTCTCTACAGTAAGACTTTGTTTGACGCACATCCTGAAGATCCGGATTACATGCCACCGCCAGAAGATAGGCCAGGTGGCTTCAACTGGGGACAGGAAGCCAATGTGCAGTGATCAAAACATTCAATAGTTCTCTTTCTAATACTGTTTCTTATGTCGAATTACCCAAGAATGTTGCGGAAACGCGCGTCCCCCATCGTTGTTCCTTCATTTTTAGATTTATCAATAACTTGGTGTTTGGATTTGCGTATGCAAGGACGTATAATGAGATGACGCACATAAAGGTTAATACATACATGATGTATATAGGAAAAATGTGAAGAATAATATACAAGATTGACATTTTTTGAGGAATCGTCGAATAAAAGTTGATTATTTTATCTATAATCAAATTATCGAGGGAAAGTTGAAAACTTCTCGAGGAATTTGTAAACGAGAAAAAACCCGCTAATTCTTATACATCCTATGTATGTATGAGAACTGGAGAGATGTATGTAAGACGTTTATTATCAATGAACTGTTATTGTTTTCGTTCAATTTTGTGCATGCATATTCGCGTGCATGTTCTGCATTATTCGTTTTTGCATACAAAAAATCTGATTTCTATCGATATTAACTCTTTGGAAGCCAAGCGTTGCGCTTCTAGCATTATTACACACAAAAAATATAATGGATTAAATTGATTTAAAGTGTACAAGCGAAATTATATTTTTCTCTTTTCATCTAGAAGATTATTCTCTAATTAATTTGAAATGTGTGAATCCAACTGTAAAAATGAGTAATTTTAATTGTTATTATGTAGATATATATATATATAATGTGTACAGACTGTTTATATATATATGATTCTAATGTATGGTAGTTTATTTCATTCTATATATTGTAATAGCAACAAGTATTAAAATTTTCGTAGATTTATATCTTAATTCTACAGAAATCAATAGAAATAGTGTTCTACATGCACGCAAGTGCAACTGAATTGGCATTCCGAGGGTTAAATTTATCTATCGCGAATATGAACTTCCGATTTTGTGCACGGAAGTTGTAATTTTTCACTCGCGAATTAATTAGATTTACTGTATCGAGAGCGTCACTTTTGTAAGAGCGATATTTGCGATTGGTGGTAACTTTGTGATACATTTATCGTGCTCATAGTTCTTGCAAGTATCAATAGAAGAGAGAAAGAAAATGCCATTGTGCAAAGGAGACTATTTTAAATTGTATTAAAGCATTTATTTATATTTATTAATATAGTGAAGTGTAATCTAGGCAACATCTACAAAGTACAAATCGTTAAATATAAATTAAAGAAATAATATATACACACTTCCCACAATTTTGTTCATATATGTATATTATGTATGTACTATGTGAATACAATGGAGACTTGCATTGATTATAGTTAATAACTAATCGCTTTTTTGTGGGAACAATGGAAAAGTAATGTTTTTTTTCTTTTCTTATTATAGTCTATTTATTGTCTAACGTTAATAAATGTTATGATAAATTTAACATTTCATTTTTCTCTCGAATTTTTTAATGAAAAAAAAGAAAGAAAAATAATCACATATTGAATCTTTAATAAGATTGAATTCTTAAAATCTAATACAGCTTCATAAATTCAATTTTTTTATTTGGAAAATAAACATTACTTTACCATGTATAATTAACTAACTTTGATATAACTTTTTCTGTGATCTTCATAAATATTATACGAATTTATTCTGCAGTGTACTGGTTTAGGCAAAAAAAAGAGAAGCCAAACTTGTAAGGAATAATCGTTTTAATCACGATTTTTAAGATTCTCGGGTGTTTTAAGTCCTTTTAATATTTTATTCTTTTGAATTCTATACTTAAATGGAGACTTGCATTGATTGAAATCATTATAAGATTCTAATTTCTTTTAGATTTGCCTATATTTATCTTTTCTTATATTTTGGGCATCCAGGATCCCAGGATACTTTGCACGATCTTTTGTTTCTTAACTTTCCATATCTTTATATTTACAAGTTGATAAATATTTTATATCTTATATTTTTAATTTTAATATAAATGGGAAAAGAGGGAAGGGTAGAATTTTTGACTTGTTAATCTTGGGATTCCTGGTTTCTTATTAGAACATTAACATTGTCATTCCGACAATCGATGTAATTAATGACAATTACATCTTTAATCATCATTTCCTGTTAGGATGCGTTTGTATTAACTTTTTCAGTATCTCATTATACAAAGTTCAAAATGGTTTTGTTTTATCAATCTTAATTTGTCTAATTATTAAACTATTTTTTGGATAGTAAAGATTTATAATCAAAGTAACTAATAAATTTATTGTAAATGAATATGACTGAGGGCTGAAATAGTGAATCGACAAGCGCATCTACTATCGCCAAAGAATACGTTAATAATTATCAGAGTTGTAAAGAAATGAATAATAATGAATAGAGAATAAGAAATGATTTTATAAAACCATTTATTTCGATTTAAATAATAAATGATTAGGATTATATATATATATACACATACATATATATATGTATATGTATATATAGGATTAATATAATGATGTATAACTAAATACATATACGCAATGATATGGACTATAATACAATGATCATTGGGGCTCTATTGTACACTTGCTTATTGTTTTATCATATCGCCACTGTTGCTAAAAGCACCGTAATGTCGTCCGGTTTACCACCTAAAAATTTTCAAATTTATTTTTGCATGCTCTTTTTGCCAAGCATTCTTAATTTAAACTTGGATCTATAATTGCATCAATAAGTTCACATTAGCGGATCAAGTTTTAATATAATCAATAAAATAAAAAACCTATTGCAATTAAGATTCAATTATAAAAAAAAGTATAAAAGTTTCAGCATATTAGCTTATAGCTTTGCAGGATATTTTATAAAGCAATTTCTCTGTTTATACTAAGCTACTTGAAACGGGATATAAATGAAATATAAACTAATTTAGTTTTCTCTTTACATACCTATTGCATCAATCCCATTCTCTCGAGCACTTTGAGCAAACGGAGACATAAAAGCGTCGTCAAAAGCCAAACGACGCGCCATCCACGCTATCGTGTTAGCGACGCACTGTATCTTTGTTGGATCCCTTTCGCCTTCGATTTTCTGCATCTCGGTGACTAGCAACTGGTCAGGCACATTGTCGAATACCCCGTCGGTTGCTAAAAGGATTACATCGCCGTCTTCGACACCAAAACTTGAAGTATCGGCAGAGTCTGGACTAAAAAACAGAAAAAGGAAGATTATTATTTATAAATATTATTACATATATTGTATATATTAATATATATTAAATATAGATAAAATATAATATACCTGTCACGAAGTACCATATCAGAGTGTCCAGGAGGCGGAAGCGACAATTGGAAGGGAGTGTTGAAATAATGTTGTTGCTCCGAAGAGCGATGCACCACTTCTCCCCTTCGTACGACTACAAAGCCACTATCTCCTATATTAGCTGCATAAATGCTGCTTGTCTCTTTATTGAGAACTATTACACAGGCGGTGCTGCTACCTGTACATACAAAAGATATTGTTCATCAGAAATCAATCTTTAGGCAACATTTTAATTGTATATTGTAAATCAATTAAACATTTTTTTTTAAATTTACTTGCTCCCTTACCTAATATTGGTTGTTTATTTTCTAATAATTCGTAATAACTACGTGCTAACAAGCCGGCGGGTTCTGTAGGTGTAAATCTGCCCATAGAGACTAGCCTCTCGCAAGTCCTCATCAGGAAATTAGAAAATTCTCCTGGATCGATTCCATAGTGTCGCCATCCTCCAACACCATCAGCTACACCTAAAAAATTATAATTTTGAAATAATTAGAATCCAATTCTACTCTTATAATAAAATATAATTGTAGAGAGGAGAGAAATATAGTTGTCTATAGATAATTATATAAATGAAAAAGAACACGTAATTTCAGATCGATTCAAGTTTATCTTGTAAAATATATTTTACATTGATTTCTTTTGAATTGCATTTTTTTCTTATTCTCTCTCTTTCACTTTTTGAAACTGTCACTTTTTTCTCTTTTTCTAAAAGTTGAATATCACTTATTTAATTTTTTTCAAGTTCAGCAAGTATAACATAATGCAGTTAAAAAAAACAATTTGTTTTACTTTTCTAATAAATATATTTAGAATCTAGACAATCTATGAAAAAATTTAGTAATTTAAAAACTTCACATTGTCATCAATAACGATTCATTGTTACTTCAAAGTATATTTTCTATTCAGATGCATTATGTTTAATTTTCAGCAACCAAAATGAAACAATATAATCAAAAGCTAGAGAAAAATTACACAAAAGTACAGTAACTAGTTAAAGAGGAGACTTCGTAGATTCTTTCAGCAGCGTAACATCCTATTACATATCTATATTTTGCGCTTGAGATAGATACACAGAATTCCAAGGAGGGCAAACTTTCCTACGCGTTGAAGAAGGTGTTTCTCCTCACCTATGACTTCAGCTGTCCTGAACTTGGCGGTGAACCAGGCGTCGTCGCCGAACTGGCCCCTGCGTATTCGGCTCCGCGCGAAGTCCTTCGGAAAGCCGCAGACGGCAGAAATAAAGGAGGCCTCGCGGCGCCTGCTGCTGCTCGCGACGACCGCGTTCGATTGCTGCTCGGTGCTGCACGAGGTGTTATAGCTTGCGATGCCGTTCCAGAGCGCGCGCGACAGCAGCCGTCCGGTCCAGTAAATGGATTGCATCGCGCGAAATGATATTAACCAGGATGTCGGTGCTTACCACCAGCACGCGACCAGAGAGTCTGACATCGCGACATGCATTTCTTTTTTCTCGTCTCGTCTCGATTTGTCTCGCTTTTCTTAATTACTCTCCAACAGTGGACAGCTCTCACAGCCGTCTCGACGCCATCCTCTCGGTCTCTCTTTCTTTTTGCAGGCACCGCTCGGACTGGTGACCAAGGAGTATCGTACTATGAAAGGCTGCTCGTAAATTCACGATCCTCGCGCTTATCCTTTGTACACCACACTGAATCCGCCGAATTAGACGGGGTAGACGGAAGGGTTGGCGTTGACGATCGACTTGGTGCGCGGTCACGTGGCGCGCTGGCGTCGAGACCGATTAGACTTTGCCTTTAGGCCCGCTTTACGCAACTGAAATTCGCGAGAGAGAAATTATAAAGGCTCATCCAAACGAACTAAATCAATTGATGCTGAGAATCTGAGAAATGATAAATAATGGATGCATTTGACATATCAATTTTTCTTACGTAGATTTTTGCATACCTTATATATGTCAGATTTGTTTGAAAAATCTTTTGAAATTTTGTACAATATTATAATTTTTAATACAATGTTATGTTAATTTATTAATCGAAAAAAATGTTATCAAACTTTCTAAAATTCTGTTGGAATAATTTCAGAAATTTAATATTTCATTAATCTTTACTATCAATTCTTCAATGGAAGCTTTCCATGAAACACATAAATCATAGAAACAGTGTCAAATATTATATTATATTATATATATCTTATATAACATAAATGGTAGCTGTATGGACAAACTTTAGACTATATTTGTATTTCTCTAATAAAAAAACATATATATATGTATTAATATTTATTATATTAGATTATATTTTATATTATATTTTTAATTGTCAAATAGAGAATTTTTGTGGGACTTTAAAAAAATTTTTATTTGATAGCCAATTACGTAGCAGTCGATATATCATATATCGATACAGCATATATCGATCGACCGGTCAAGTTTTCCTCCTTCGGTTTCCCATCTAGAGATTTCGCATGATCCGTGACGTTTAATGGCGGAATGAATTAACATATGTATGTGTGCATGTGCACGTGTGTGCCCGGTCGCATTATTTTTCGACTTTTCCACAATTTCGAATGATGTGACGAGTTTCCCACAGCTGGGTGATTCCTTTTCAAGCTTGAGATCATTTTCCACGATACTTCGCAGATTCGAAAATGAGCACGATTCTGGAGAAGATCGCCTCCATCGAGGCCGAGGTAACCTTCCTTATTTCGCAAAACGTAACGAATCTCCTCGCAATCTGCGATTTATATCATTCGCGATGCTTCCCTCTTCCAGATGGCCCGTACCCAGAAGAACAAGGCTACTTCTGGACATTTGGGTCTCTTGAAGGCGAAACTAGCCAAGCTCAGACGCGAGCTGATCACTCCAAAGGGTGGTGGTGGAGGTGGTGAACAGGGTTTGAGGTTGCCAAGACCGGTGATGCTCGTATTGGTTTTGTCGGTGTGTTTTTCTCGTAATTGCGTTGGTATTTTATAACAGCTGCGTTGTAATCTTATGTCAATCGAACGGAAAAATGTCTATATTCAATAATTTAATTACATCTTGGAGAACACAAAAATTTATAGATTACATGTGATAATATTTTACGTTTCATGTTGTATATGATTTTACATAAGGATAAATTTTTGTAGGCTTTCCATCTGTTGGAAAATCCACCCTGTTGAGTACACTCGCTGGTGTGTATTCTGAGGTAGCAGAGTACGAGTTTACGACACTTACGACTGTTCCTGGTTGCATAAAATACAAAGGAGCAAAGATACAAGTAATTCAAAATCTAACTTGAATTATTGCTAAGAAATATTTGGTTTTATGTTCTGTACAATGGTTTGTGAATATTTTTTGGTTTAATTATTCATTGTTTTTGTAATAAATATTTCTGATTTAAAATTGAGATTTAGAGTCGATTTGTATACAGAAATAAAATCAAGTTAAGATTGTAACAAAATGCATCTTGCAGCTGTTAGATCTTCCAGGTATTATAGAAGGTGCAAAAGACGGTAAAGGACGTGGACGACAAGTTATTGCTGTAGCGAGAACGTGCAGCTTAATTTTCATCGTTCTGGATGTGCTCAAACCACTTGGGCACAAACGGCTGATCGAGCATGAATTGGAAGGTTTCGGTTTGCGATTGAACAAACAACCACCAAACATAACTTTCAAGAAGAAGGACAAGGGTGGTATTAATTTACAAACCATGGTAAGAAAAATAATTTGTTGAGCGATTAATTAATTAATGTAAATGATTTATATGGCACAGAAAAATTAAAGTGCTGTTGTACTTGTTTCAGTGTCCACAAACTGAGCTTGATTATGATACAGTGAAGATGATTTTGTCGGAATACAAAATCAGTAACGCAGATATTACATTAAGATACGACGCCACCTCTGACGACCTGATCGACGTTATAGAAGGGAATCGTGTTTATGTTCCTTGCATTTATCTCTTAAATAAAATAGGTAAAACTTTGATAAGATCTATACCATTTATGTAATTAAAAAAAATATATGTATATATATTTATGAATGGAAATTTTTTGGCAGATCAAATAAGTATAGAAGAACTGGATGTTATTTATAAAATTCCACACTGTGTACCTATCTCAGCTCATCATAAATGGAACTTTGATGACCTGTTAGAGAAGATGTGGGATTATTTGCAACTTGTTAGGATGTAAGTTTATGATTTAAATATTATTTTATAACTTAATTTATGTAAAAGCCTTTATCATATTTAATAATTTTAATTTTTGTAACAGTTATACTAAGCCAAAAGGACAACTTCCAGACTATAATGCACCTGTAGTATTAAATACTGAAAAGCGAACCGTTGAAGACTTTTGTAATAAACTTCATAGATCGATCGCGAAAGAATTTAAATAGTAAGTCGTTTGTATTTTAAATTTTTAGAAAAAAAATTGTGTTACATATTTTTTCGCAGATACTAACTAATTCGTTTTGTTGCAGTGCATTGGTGTGGGGTTCGTCAGTGAAACACCAACCACAGAAAGTAGGGAAGGATCATCTTCTTTGTGATGAAGATGTTGTGCAAATTGTGAAAAAAGTGTGATTTGTTTTCTTATAAACATTATTTAGCAGTGGGTAAATAAAAATTTAATCAATGAGATTAATATCAGATTTGTAAAAAGATTACAGTTTAATAAATTATATATGATTGATATATTATATATATATATATGTCATGTATAATATGTTTAAATCACTGTCATATTTGACAGACAGAAGATGTGCAAATGTAATTAATGAAAACTTGTCTAACTTTTGCAACATTAAAGATTTTATATATAAAATTATATATAAAATGATCTTAAAGTTGATATTTTATTTCATTTGTTACTTGACCTTTTTTTTAACTTTTTACTCTTCTATACATATACAATACATACACACACACATATATAATTATATATATATATATATATAATAATATATAAATCATAAATCTGTTCTTTATTGTATGATTATGGTTATATTTACATATATAATTTTATATAAACAGATAAATTAATTAATTTGATAGAAGAAAAGAAATACTTTTTATTTATTATTTAATATTATAGAATACATAATTATTTAAAAGTTAATAAAAATAATTGAAAGTTTATTATCATTAAAATAGTGATAGTAATAAAATTAATAACTTTTTGACTGTAATGATATTTTTAATGACATTAATGATATTTTTAGTATATTTTGTATTATATATATATATGACATTCTATAGATTGTGTTCAAAAATTCGTCTGCGAAAGGTCAGAATTTGACCGACCAATCGAGTATCTCTTTGTCCTGATTAGTCAATCAAGCGCTTCACCCTAGATGAGCACATTTCTGAACACATCTGGAGTACTGCCATCTGGTACACTTTCGCATTGTTTATGGTCTACGTTCCCGCGCTTGTCGCCGCGCCGGTCTCTACGTCGGTCCACGAAAATACAAGCGTGAGTATTAATTAATGTATCAACGTCATTAATTATTGCATAAATCCGATCACGTGGCATGTACCGACATTCTGATAATGATTGCGCGCGCGAAATTGATTCCGTCGGCCGCGAATCTCGCGTTCACGTTCCGCCGAAAGGTCGCGTGACGTCACAGCTCGGCTCGAGCCGCGTGAAGTTATGCGCGCGAATTATTTCGTATGTTTCGTTTTTTTATTATTGAACGGATAAAAATTCTATTAATATTCTTCTATTTTCAAACATTTTCTTTTTCAATTTTGAAAGAATTTAAATTATTAGCTACGATAATTATTTTTTCAAATTTTAGGCTGATAATTAAAATTTTACAGAAAGTAAAATTGCGCGTTTAAAAATATGAAAAACCATTAATAAATGGTCCTCCAAAAGATAATAAAAATATGGAATATAGAATATAGAATATATAGAATATAGAATATAGAAAAAATATATTAAAAAATACGTGACATTACGTATCTGATCTTTGTACTCGTTTTTAAGATTAAGGGAATTCATTGCTATTGATAATTAGAAAATGATAAAATATATATGTATAAATATATAGAAAAACATTAATTAAATAATTTTCTACAAGATAATATAAAATTTAGAAAAAAATACGTGACATACTTTCAAGTATACATATATATTAATTTAATATTAATATAGTATTTTATAGCATTTATGTTCAAGGAAACACACACAATAATTTATGGTTTAAAGATGAGAAAACTTTTTATATTCCGTAAAAATATTAATTTATTCTTTACAAGTATAGGTATATATACACATATATTTTTAAATAGAATCAAATTATTTACAAAGTTTGCAAAATATATTCTTTTCTCTGCTGATCCAACAATTTTTCCAAGTATTTGCATTTTGAGTTAACGTCATGGAGTTTTTTATCGAGATTCTTTATAGTTAGAACTTTTTGAGTGATTACGAATTTTATCCTATAACATAAAGATAGTTTAATGAATGTGAATGCATTGTATATTAATTTTTAAATATTGATTTTTATAATTATTGAATTTTAACTTGTTGTGCAATTGTGCCATAAATTGATCTCGATTAGCATTATTCTGAATTATTTCTTGATAAAGCGATGCGATCTTATTTTCCAGGTCTCTCTTCTCTGTTTCAATTTCCTGCCTTGCTATCTCTTTTGCATTATCTCTTTCTTTAGTCAATTTTACAATTGTCTATAAATTAAATTACAAGTATAATTAAAGAAATTGTAACTATATGCTTGTGTGTGTGTGCTCAATATGTTTATAAAATGTTTATACATTTAAAAAATTTACCTCATTCATATTATTTAGATTGGTCATGCATTCTTTTAATCTATTTTCTGTTTTTTCAAATTGCGTCTCTGTATATTTAAATCTTTCTTCTAATAATAATAATTTATTTTTATGAATGTTTTCACTTTTAGTTGCAGATTGTAATTTTGCATCGTAATCTTCTTTCATTAGTCTAAAAGTTATTTTGTCAAAATTGTTATAATTTTATTTATATATTTATTCAAAAATTAACATCTTTAAACTTACTCTAATTTATTATCAAAACTTTGTTGCAACTTAGCCCGCATCTCGCGAGATTCTTTTTCCAATCTAGCTATAGCGATTTCTATCTGCTTGTCTCTCTCCTTTTGATAATCATTACGAATTGCAGTCTCTGCCTTTATCAAATTTGCACTTTGTTGCTTTTTATAATCATCTGCCCATGCAAGCCATTCCTTTCTCAAGGATTCCTCGAAGTTTCTCTTAGCAATTTCTTGTTGCTCTTTTAATATTTCTGTTTCTTTCTTTATACAAAAAGGTATATTATACAGTTTATCTCTTATCAATAATAGAATATTAATAATAAATTTTGTTCTAAATCAAACCTGAAAATGTAACTGCGTTTGTTGCATTATCGCGCTTGTTTCCTGGTCGCGTTTTTTTTGCTCTGCAAGAAGTATAGACTTCTCTCTTTCGAAATGTTCCGCAAATGTTCTTTGTTGCTCTTGATAGTGTGTCTCCTGCTCTTCGAGTTTTTCTTTATATCTAATTGTAAAATTTAATTATAATTTATAATACTAACAATAAGTAAAAATTAAAATCAATGTATGCAAATAATTAACGTCGTACCTAGCTATTAATATGTCTTTCTCCTTGGCCAACATTTTCTCATGGTTGTCTGTTAATTCAATTCGCAATTGCTCCAATTGTTGATTCGATCTACGCATCGCGCGTAATTCCGCATCTTGTAATTCCTTTATATGAGCGCGTCTCAATTCCTGTATCTCTTGTTGATGTTGCTCCATCATGTTATGCAACTCTGGTTCCAATCCTTTCACTGTCATTTCCTGTAATATTAATAATCTCTGCTTTATTTATTACGAATTATATAATTATTTTTAAAGATATTAGTTACTAGAATATCCTTGTATTTTCACGAAGAAATCGAGACAGTCTTTTTAGAATAGATTGTTATTTTCAATTATTTTATATAAAAGAATTTAAACGAGTTTGAATTGATAACAACGAGCTTGAATTTATATTTGCTGATAATAATCAATATGACAACCTTAATTTTCGAGGTTTTCATCTCCAACCATCTCTCGCGCCGAATTTTTTCAGACGCAGCTATATTTTCTTTCGCGCGTTGCAACTCGACAGCATGTCTTTCAGTAATTACTTTCAAATCTCGTTGGATCTTCTGTTCTATATCTTTTATCTGTCGCGCCAGAGAGTCGCATTTTTTCGTGAGATCCGTTTTCTCGGCGATCAGCTGTTCGATAAACTTCTGATGACGTTTGACGATTGTCCTATACTTGTTCTCCAGTTCCTTCATCTTGGTAGCATTGCAGCGTTTTTGTGACATTACTTTGTCGCATGCTGCTTTTCGCTCGGACTTTAATTGATTTTTTAAACATTCTATTGTCGCGTTCTTTTCCTCAATCTGCAATCTCGCGATCTCTAAATCGTCTTGTTGGCAGTCGAAAATTCGACTACTTTGTATGTCGTTTCTGCCGAAGGAAGAATATTTTTCTTTTTTCTCCGTATATTTCAGATCTAATACTGTTCTATATATAAATTATAATTATTAATATCGTTACCTAGGATTTTTACACGATGAAATTATAGTTGCTGGACTTTCCGCAATGACGTTATTCGCTTGTACATCTATTAACAATTAATAATATTGTAGAAAAATTATTCGTTTTAATGTAAGCAAAAGTAGAATCATAAGAAGGAAATTTTACCTTGATCATTTTCAAGGTTTTCTAGAAAAGATATTATGTCTTCGTAAGTCGTTGCAATTGAATCACATTTATTTGCGGTGATATCTTTTTCCGGTTCAATCTGCGCTTGATTAGATTTTATTTATCGCAGTATTAATCGAATGCATTTACGATTAATATAAAATATAAATCAGTCTTAACAAATAAAATATTTGCTTACACGTTCCGGATACTTGTGCAACGCTGGCTCTCGATTGATATCGTATTTTATGTCAGTAGCCAATAAATCCACTCGATTATATTCCGCAGTTTCGATACTGTTATCTTTTTCCAATTGGTTTATCATCTTGCACAATTGTTCGAACGAGTTAGACGGCTCGATCAAGTTTTGGTTGAAATCGTGTTTTTTCTCACGGAAACTCTTCCCTTCTACGTTTGACATATCTGTTACAAAGTGAAACATGCGCGTTACCGAAGCGAACTGAGCCAAGTTAGTCGACGAACTTTCATACATTGGGGTGCGGGCGTTTTTATTTATGCGTCGTTCGGCGATCGCTATGGCAATGCACGTGTTACAAACAGGGGTGGTGATACCCTTACGTGTCAGGAAAGCACTTTCCAGCGCATATGCATAATTTAATTACAGGTGAATTGAAACGAAGAGGCGCCTTTTCTTCCAAGCAACCTTTCTCACCTGACAAAAACGCATCATCTTATTTACGGTATGTATAAAGCTAGACATTTCGATTCCAAACGAAGAATATATTGATTTATTTTAATAACGTATCTGTCTCTTAATAATTACATCGATCTTCCTATTTTCAGAACAAAAGATTCGATTGTCTGACCATACGACGGACTTATCTACTTTCCATCCGATATCTTTCATTGACCGACTCTCGGTCAAGAAAAATCTTGTTCTTCGAATAATGTCTTGTAAAAAAAAAAAAAAAGAAAAATAATAACGCACTCTGACTTTACCCTCGGAGAGGGTGTCTTCTCTCAAGATCACCCTCCGTTGCACCCTCGGCGGATGGGTGCGAGGATGACATTTCCCACGTAATAATAACATAGTTTTGGATGCTGGCTGTCGGTGGCGCTCACGGGGCGAAGTTTCCTAGGGGTTTCGGGCGGCGACGGGGTTGACTGGGGAGGGTTGAAGGGGGTGACTGGGACGCACGGGGAGGATATACGTGCAGAACGGCCCTTCCGACCCCTCGCGGCGGTACGTACCGTAGGAGAATCGATCTAAAACTAGGAGTCGCCGCAGTAACTGCTGGGAGGAAGCCAGTGTTACAATTCGCCCCCGTCGTATGCGCCAGTGAAATCTTAAACGCACGCCGGTTAATCGCACGTACGCACGGTCGTCGGGGCCAGGTACGTCCACGTCGACGAACGGACGTACGTCGTCGCAACCCCTGCTCGTCACGCGCTTCTCCGTTCCATTTGCCCTCTCTCTTTCTCTCTATCTCTATCTCTCTCTCTTTCTTTCTCTCTCTCTCTCTCTCTCCCTCTTTCTCTTCCGTCTCTCCTGGCGGCACGGCAGCACAGGGGTGGCCGGCCGGGGCGCGGCGTGCTTTAATCGCGAGGGATATAACGGCGAGTGTTGTGCGCTCCTCGCTCTCGTCTACCTCGCGTACGTGCGTGCGAGCGAGCGGGACGGAGCGAGGCGCGGCGCCGTGGATGCGAGAGTGACAGCGACAGCGTCTCGGCGAGGAGCAGCAGCCGCGTGAAGAAGGGAAGACACCACCACGGTCGTCGACAGGCAGCGGTGAATCGAGCGAGTCAGCCTATCGGTAGATACAGTCCGGTCAGTGGGTCCAGTCGAAGTGCAGCCAGCCAGACGCGGTGTCTGACAGAAGCGCGGTTTGAGACCCTCGAGAGACAGAGGAAGAGGAGAGAAAGACGGAAAGGCAGAGAGAGAGCGAGAGAGAGAGAGAGAGAGAGAGACACCTTGCGAGGGTGTACGCGCGAGCAGGCTGGGCGGACAGCAGCGCGACCAGAGAGCAGCATCCAGCGGATATTATAATGCGACGTGAAGCTTTCGTCCTTCTCGCCTTGGTGGTCGTTCCTTCGGAATAAAGCCGCGTGCTCGCTCCTGGGACGGTTCCTTACCTGCAGGGCTATGACGTAATGGCAAGAGAGGTATGTACATCCTTCCGGTAGCCTCCTTCTCTCCATATTCTCGCGCCCGATGCAGCATCCACCTTGCGCGAGAGATCTATATTTCCTTCCGCGGCCGGGAGGAAATTCTTCGTGGAAATTTCCTCCCTATAATTCGAAAATTGCGAACAAAGGAACCCCTTTGTCGTCGTGGGAAGAATCTTCCTCTTCGCGGAGAGGACGCCTCTCGGTGACCTATTTTCACGTGACCTCGTGACACCCGACGGTCGGTCCTCGGCTTGCACCCCCCTAGAGTGCATCACCCTCTCGGCAAGGCCGAACAGCCGAAGGGACGAGCCCTTTGGCCCCTTCCTTCTTTCTAAGTTAATAAGTTCGCGTTTCTTCTTTCTCCGCGAAGGGATTCGTATTCGTAAGAGATGCTCCGATTTCGAGCTCGATAGTACCTTCGGCCTTGTTTCGTTCCTTTTGGATTTATTTTACGATCGTACATATATGGTTGCTTTATTCAGAAACCTCGTTCTATTTTCACGGGATCCTGCCCGTTCGGATTATCCGTCGGAAATAATTTCTTCATATTTTCAGGATTGATTTTGTTCTTTCCCGATTATTTCGCGTATGTGCTTAAAATCCAATCAGAAATCTCTTCTTGCTAGATTTTATCAGTTGAAAATTCTTGTGTAACGTTTTCCGATAATTCCTGAGATTCCTAATCCCTTCGCATCCAGCATCCATTGTGATGGACATACTTTTTCTTCATTTGTAATATGGAAGTACATAGTTGTAGAGATACTCGCTGCCGTTGTCCTAGTTTATGAACATGTTCTGAGTTATGATTCCGAGTCGTTTATCACCATCCGCGACTTCCAAGGGGAATAATAAATAGGGAGGAACATATTTGAATGTGTCTTTTAATAAATAGAGAATTGGATCTTTGATATTTAAGAATTCCTTTCTTCCTCGTTTATTTTTTAAAAATATTTTATTCGAATTTTTTCTCTCTCTCTCTCTTTTTGTCAGCTTTGAAAAGTATCTTCGTAGGATATTCTTTACAGTGAATTAACCAACGATTATTTAACGATGATTTCTAATTATCTATATCTAGCATGAATTAACATTTGTCTTGGTATATTTCTATAAAAACTTTTGTAATCTTTATTCTTGTTTCCTTTAGCTTATAATATTTTATTTTATTTTCTCGAATGATTACGCTGTTCCTTCAAGTTTCTTGTATTTAATTGTTAATAATCTCTCTTCCATTTTTTAACATTGATAATAGTTTATTCATATATAATACTATTTTTGACATTTTTCACTCATATAATTTTGTCGCTTTATTCCTTGATAAAAGCTCCTTCATCACTTTGCGCTTTCAAAATCCTTACGCCCGTTTTGTCTACTGGTAGAAACTTTCTTCATGGTTTTCCCGCTCATATAGACTCGTCCTCATTGCTTTTCGTCTTCTTATTATTTACTAGTCCATCTCACCACTCGCTCGTAGATTTGTCTTCACTGATTTGCAGTATCTTAGAATTCTCGTATCATCCCGTATCAGTTTGGTTGTTGAAGTTTTTCTTTTAAAGAAAACTAGGATACAACTTTTAATTCGATGTTCTTTTTCTTTCAAATATTCTCTCTTAGCCTATTTATGTTAAAAATTATACAGAACAGAGTTGCGAGAATGTTACTCTTTCAATGCTGGAATGCTTTTCTCGTTCGTAGAACGCTCTTTACCTCATTGTATGTTCGTTCGTCGCTACTTTGCATGCTCACAAAATTCTTCTCGTCGTTCTGCACGTTCGCAGACTCTTTCATGCAAAATCCTTATCATCGTTTGTCACGTTTCACGGAATTCCTGTATACCTTTTTGTTTCATTGTAGAAGCTTCTTCGCACATTTGCGGTTTCGTGTCGGATCTTTTGGAATATTTAAAACAGATTTTTCGGATTTATACAGTGTTTGGTTGTAATTTGTGAAATAAGCAAATTGGGACAGAATCAAAATTAAATATAAGAGTAAATGAACTCTAGATTCTTTATTAAATTAATTTCATGAAAATTAAGAACAAAATTTCTCAGGAAAGTAAATCCTAGTAGATTTCTTGTTAAAGAATGCACCTGAGTTCATGAATTTTAATAAGAAAATCCAAATTTTTCTGTACATCACGTATTTAATTTTTCATATGTATATAAATAATTGGAAAAAAAAAAATATATATATATATATATAGAGAGAGAGAGAGAGAGAGAGAGAGACAAACAGTTTAAATTTGTAAGTTTTTAAATAAAAATATTTATCATATTTAAAGACGTTTCAATGCGCTTTAAAAAACATCGTCATCATAAAAGGAAGGATTTCGTTAAATATTTTTTATGTGATTCTTATTAGTTATCTGAAATTCCATGACTTTAGAAACCTCTGAATGTGATGAGTTTCAATAAATCAAAAATTCGTAGAGAAATCGTCAGTAACGGCGGCGATTCTCGACGATACTTCGTTAAGGGATGCACCTGGGTACATCCACGTTGCATAGCTCGCTGCAGCTGCAGGCGGTTCCCTATTTGCTCGTTAGCACGTTGCAATGTTGTTTACTAAGTTCCATCCATGGCGATTTTGCGAATGCGAGGAGAGCGGCTTATATTACTTAAATAAACATTCGAATTTTAGATCCTTAGATTTTTAAATCTTTGAATTTCTGGATTCTGTTGAGATAGAGATGCTGAAAGCTCTTTGATAGCTGGTTCTGAATTCTAAATTATATTGTAAATTTACATATATTAAAAATTACTTTTGTAATTCTTTTATATTTTTATGTAATTTTGTTATTTAAAAGAATCACAGTCTTTGAAACCTCGCCTCGATTTAAATCTCTGCACATGTCAATTTTGGAAAGCAATTTCGGAGAACAATAAGATAATAAAATGTAAAGAGTAATAAGAAATAAGTGCAATAACTTTTCATACAAAATAAAAATAAATATAAATAAATATAAATTTTCTTTACATTCGATTAAATTTCGGATTTGTATCTTTTGCTAGGGCATATATACCTAATAATGATAAATTCTTAACAAATGTAATAATTATATATTGATATAGGTGATGAATAACCGGCATATTCGACTGCTGTACAGAATAAATAAGCGATATTACAAGTTAAGACCGGTTGAACCAGGTCAGTGCTTTCGAGCAAAAACTGCGCACGCGTCCTGCACACCCTTAGCGCCACCCCGTTGAAGACTAGGGACAACCCCAAACATAATGCACCCCTTCAGCTCGCATTATTCCGAGATCGCTAGTGTCGTCGGGATGCAATCTCGCCGATCGAAGAGTGCAAGTGTGTATCCACAGTGCAAAGTATGATAAAGTGTACGAAATAAGCTCGGTAAATATTTACAAATAAATCGTATAAAATAAATGCATTTCTGAAATAAATTAACGAGATAATTATCTCTCAATGAACATCGGAAAATTTTGGAGTGGAAAATTCGTAAAAAAATTTGTGCAAATCATTGTACAGTAAGTGTCTATGCTTTGCGTATGTTTTTAATACAAATATTATTAAATTTATCGTTTATAATTATATTATTCGATATATGTATATTTAAATTATTAAAGAATTTGTGGATATTTAAATATTTATAATCAAAGAGAAAAGATATACCTTTAAATTCTTATATGTAAAAAATTTTAAATGAAAGGATCTAGAATTGTTTTTAAATTTTTCTTAAATTTTTTAAAAAATTCTTCGTAATATATAATAATTGCATTAAAGTGCGATAGTTCTAAGAGACTTTGCATACATTTAAATATTGATTTTCATTTTCTTTTAGATAATTTTTATTTGCATGTGTTAATATTTTTATATTTTTTTCTTTCTCTATCTCGTTCTTTTTTTTGTCAATATGTTGCAAATATATTTTAATGGACTTAGGATAATTTTTTTGGTCCTGTACGTCCTGTATGTGTTAATAACATATATTAATTTATATTTATACAAAATTTGTATAAATAATAAATAGGAACTGAGCAATTTTTTTTAAACTGTTGTGATTATTTTAAAATTAAATAAAAAAATTAACGTTATGATTTAAATATATTTTATATATTTAAATCATAAATTTAATTTTTTTATTTAATTTTTAAACAATCTTCTTTTTTGAAAGAATAATAAATGTAGACGACTAAACTGCTGAACGTACTGTCGTTCTACTTGTTCAATCTTATGACATTTTTAAGAGTCCAGTCCAAAACTGTCGTGTTAATTCCGTTCGCGACAGAGTGAAAGTTTTATATGAAAGATTTTATTTATCAGCCGTTCTACATGGTCACGATGTGTACAAGCATGCTGGGAAATTATTTACCCCACTTAACATCTGGGCGACAAGCGTTTCCCGGGGTCACTTCTACAAGCCTTCACATAGCTTTTCTTGCCGCGAATTATTTTTAATTGATGTATAAATCAATGCTCATTTGTAAGATCCTTTAATTTGTTACAAAATGCAAGGCAAATTTATTTTGATAAATAATTACTTATTTAAACTTCGGTAACTTGTGCAAATTTTAAATACGTATAAGGTTGCACAGGATTGCATTCTATAAAATCGTACGCGCGAATAAGTAGCAAATTGCGTATTTTAAACAGTGCTGATATAAATGCTATTTTACCCTTTTTCTAATGTTCAATATTTTTATTTTTACAAAGCGTTTTAACTCGCATGAACTTCCGGAGACCAGTTAAGGTCAATAATAAATCGCAAATGTCAACCATTTTTAACTTTATCATACCTTAAGGTCCAGTACACACTGGCATTTTTTCATCATATTAAAATTAATCGATGTCAGATATCATGCCCTTTCCACTAGAATAGTATCATAGAACCTTTTTCTTTCTTTTCTTCTCTTGATACTTTAATTTTTACTTTGCAAACTGTACCTAATATTTTACAAATTTTTATTTTATAATTTTTTAATTAAAAAATATAATTTAATAATTAATTTTTTATTTACCACATTTTGTTTGTATATTTTAATATCTATAAATAATATTAATATTATTTTGAAGAAAATTAATTGTGTCTTATTTAATCTTTGCAGGAGTTACGGACCAAGAGACCTTTTAAGATATGGGACAGTTGGCGTAACGTAAGAAAAGGACTGGTCGTTAGCAATTTTGAAGAATTGATTGTCCGGGGTGAGGAATATATTAAAATCTAAAAGATTAGTCGTTACACTTAATTTTAACCGATTAAAAACCATATTATATCGATGATCTAATTTAAATATTAAAACTGCTTTTTAGTATCATTATTAAAGCACATTTAAAATTGTGTCTTCGAAATGTCGTATTTATCAAAACATACTTTTTAAATAATAATTTATTATTCAGGCGTGCACGTGTCTATTGTTTTATAATATTGCATATTAGTAGCAACTGAGTATCGTAATTTTTTTACAATATTTCACAGTATTAGATCACTGATTATCGCTTTTTATAGAAAATATTTTTTATAAAAATAATTGAAAAAAGACTTCAAGATCACGAGAAGGAATCAGATATCAGATTTATTTTTGTAAGAAAAGATAAATGCATATCTCATTCAGGATAATTTCTGTCGAGCATCCCGCGTCATCTTTTCAAGGTACATTTTTTATTACATATCAGCAGCAGCAACTGAGTATTGTATTTTTTTTACAATATTTTACAATATTAGATCACTTGTTATAAAATATCACGTTCTATAGAAAATATTGTTTTTATTTTCAAAGATTGAAAAAAAGACTTCTCGATCACGAGAAGAAATCAGACATCAGATTTATTTCTTACGAAAAAATAAACGCATACTTATCTCGTTCAAGATATTCTAATTTCTGCCGAGCATCACGCGTCATCTTTTCGAGATACACTTTTTACTTGTCCGGCGACGAAGAAATATTTCCGGTCGGAAATATTTCCGCGCGGCGTATCGCAGCGCGGAATTGCATTATCTGCAAAGTTCCTTTGAAAATGTCGCTCCCGCAACACACATTTCTCGCAACATTTCTCAGAGACAAAGCGCCGTTCGTTCGTTCGAGGACGCACCACTATTATTCGCAACTATGTCATTCACACGATTACACGGTACAAGCGACACGTGGCATACGCACACTTATCTAAACGGACAGGAATACGTAACGCATATGCACATGCATATGCGCGAGTACACGCTGACAAACACGTTGAAGTGTCATCGCAATGCTAAACGTCATCCGACACTCATCTCTCTCGGTCAATCCGTGGTTTCAGGTAAGGAAAAGCTGGGCGTGCCACCAAACGAGAATGTCTCGCTAGTTTTGGAGTCAGACGGCACGCAAGTCGAGGACGGCGAATACTTCAAGACACTAGGCAACAACACGATCCTGCTCTTGCTGCGGCATGGTGAACGCTGGTGTCCAACTGGCGTTGACATCATTCGTGCTGGTAGGTGAAAAGAACCCGGTTGCATCCATCGATCTTAGGAAATCAGCAGCTTGGTTGAGGGATTTAAGGTTGAAGCAAACACGACAGAAAATCCGAAAGGATGCCTGAAGAAAATGAAAACGTCTTCTAAAAGCTTTAAAAGATCGCGAGATATTAGAGAATCACATAATTTTGTATTATAAATGTATATTATTCGAAAAATTAAATTCTCATTGAGTTATATTTGACAAATAAAAGTTAATTTTTAACACAGACTTTAAATGATCAACCAAGTAGCTTTTCTTCTATTATCAAATGTCTCGATTTTCTGGATTTTTGAACCCTCGAATATATAGCTGCTTTAGAATCATACGCGCTGCTATGTAAAGGGGATATTACAACGATCAACTTTGGTTGATGGAAATCGGCAACTTGGTTGAGGAAACTAACTTCGAGGCAACTGATAAAATTGATCAAACTGAATTACACGTGGATCAAACTGAATCCTTACACACACACAAGCCTTTAAACGATCAACCAAGTAGGTTTTTTCTATTCTTAAATTCTCTTTAGATGTTTTAAATTCTTTTATAATCTTTTTCACTACCCGAAACCTCTCTTTAGACTTGAAAATCTGTAAATTCTTTAGCTCCCTTAAGATCTGTGGATCTCGCACTCTTGCGATGGATCATCGGCACTGATTGTCACGTCTTGCAGCACCAAACACCACCCGTATCTTTGTTTTCGCATCCATTTGTAACTTATAATTTGTTCTCTTTCTGTATTCCCAGCAATTTCGGCGATCCCGAAAATAGTCTGCGAGACGATCCACGCGCTGGAATTGCACGATGAAACGCCATCGTGGAAAATCATGGACAATAAAGGCCGAGTCACAGTGGTGCTACACTGGGACCAGCGCTCGTCGTCGTCGTCGCAGGTACAGCAACAGCAATCTAAGGCAGGTCAGGATGCCCAGACCTCCAAGTACTCGCCGACTAAGAAAGTCGACCTAAGCGGTGCTCAGCGGCCGTCCTTGGTGATTCAGACTAGTCTGGACAAGCTCGGTTATGATGGCAAGACGACGCATCTACCCGGCGAGATCGGCCCGACGCGGTACACCAGCCCGCGAATCACTGTGATAAATCATGACGATATGGTATTGAAACTATATTCTTGTTAGTTCAAACGTTTCCCCTTTTCAGATTCTAGTTTGACCATTTTTCTAGTTCGTAATCTCTCAAAATTATTCCATCTGCAATTAAAGGCATTAGACAGAGATCTTGATGATTTTCTTAAGATTTTACAAAAATAATAATAAAATAAAACCATTGCGTTTTAAACTAATCGATCACAACTAGAATAAACACGTTTTTTAGATTACAATTTTCGAAAATCTTATCAATCGATAAACTGCTATATACATCATCTGTTAATTAAAGGAATCGATGTAACATTCAGTAATTTTTTAAATAGATATATTACACCATTGTGTTATTAAATTTTTTTAATTTTAATTGCATTATTCCTTCCTTTTTTATAACTTTTTATTTTACACAAACTAAACAATCATTATTAAACTGATTTGTATTCCACCAACAGCAACCGACACAGCCGCACTTGCCGGGCCGCCTAGTAAAGCAGGGCACGAATTCGTTCGACAGCACGACCATTCACATTCACACGCCGGAGTGCTCCAACCACATTCATCAACCGGTCGCGCGAAATGGCAGCCCGGTGAACGGTGCTGACGGTAGCGCCGTCGGCGAGTGCGACTTCCATTGCTGCGCCCTGCACGAGGAGGGTCGCAGAATCGCCGTGCATAAGTCGGTAGCAACGTCACCGATCCAGGATGCGCAACACGCGCAGTATCAACATCCGCATCATCCGCATCAACAGCAACAGCAACAGACGCAGACGCAGACACCATCGCCGCAGCCGCCATCCTCTCTATCGGACGGCACTAAGCGACCCGGTCTTAGCAAAGGTCACGTTCGCTTCCGCGATACCGCCGACGAGGAGTCGAGCTCGCGTCTAATCGGCGCGACCGGCTTCCACCTGCACCACAATCACCATCATCATCATCAAGAGCACGACAGCTCCGAGTCTGAGACGGAGAACACGATAATGGAAGACGAGTTCGTGACCTCGGAGAAATTTCTGCTTTTGATCGACCAGCTTACGGTTGACCAGAAGCATCACCTTAGCATCAAGGACATCGGCATCATACTAGAACGACTTAGCTCCAAGATCCTCGACGTCGAACGATTGGATCGCGAGAGCGAGAGCGAAGAGTGCTATAATTGGACGATCAAGGCGCTCATCCGGGGCGATGTTCTGCGGGAGCTCGGAGTGATTTATAACGGAAACTACTACGCGATTTCGGAGCATCCCGGCTACAAGGAAGAGTCCGAGGAGAATAACGAAGATAATGAAGAGGAAGAGGAGGATAGACTTTAATATGATGCTGTTTTACTAGATAGATAGATAGATAGATTATACACCTATTCCTGGTTATTATTAACTTAGGACATGTTGTAAACGGAAATAAGGACGGGGAACATTATGTGGTCTCACTCTTCGATCCGAAGATTTTTCACCTCCTGAATGTTTTATGATTTTTTTTTTTTCAGAGTCATAACATTTCTTGAAATCTTCCTAATATTTATGTAATCCTTCAAGGATTTCCCGAGAGCTTCCTCCCTTGAGTCTTCCTAGGATTGCCAAATATTCTTTTAAGGACAAGTAATAAGGTAACGTTGTCTCGTGCCAAATACATCTATGAAAGTTTTACAAAATTAATGCAGAATTTTTCGATTTTTGAATAATATATAATTATGTAGAAATCGTCCAAGATTTGGTGCGTATAAATTAAACATTTTCTAAATCTAACTTCTAAGCTTTTCCAAAATAAGTTTAGATTTTTTCCTAAGATTTCAGAATTACAGAATCCCCGAAAAATTTTCTTTTTAATAGTTATCGATATTATAAATTTATTATTTATAATCTTTAATATCACAATTTTTTTCTTAAAATTTCTCAATTCTAGAATTATATAAAGAATACTTTTAATGTGATTTATAATGTGATGATATATTTTTAGAACTTCAAAATCCTTAAAAACGAATTGCCAAATATTACCATTTTCTTGTATGTTTTGAACTATTTGAGGTACTAGCTTTTCAAATTTTAATAATTTATTTAGATAAATTTATAGTTTAAATCTCTTAAATTTTGGACGCTGTAGATCTTAGATGTTACAAAACATTTTCGCAAACTTTAAACATTATAATCCTAGGTGCCTTAGATTCTAAATATCCTTAAATCGCACAGATTTTAGATTCTTAGGTCCTAGATGTCTCGGATCGCAAATATTGTAAATTCTAAATTCTTTAGATTTTTAGATCTTCGTATATATTCAATCATATATATTCAAGCAATCTTGAATGAATCCTATAAATTTTAAATTTCTTAAATTTTGACATATTTTCGATGTTTTAAGCAAGTATGCTAAGTCGTTTCTCGATTACACAATTTCTTACAAAACTCCTTGTATCTCCTTATTCTGTTACAAGATGAAATTATAAGAGAAAAAGGAGATTTTAATTTATTGCTATATTTTGCCAATTAGAATTAATTAAATAGATAGATAAAATTTAAAAATTCTGTACAGTTGTTATTTACTATATTTTTTCACTTATACTAAAAAATTAAATATAGATTACTTTGCCTAATAAAAATGAGTAACGTTGTGCCAAATTTGATCAATTATGACGACTTTGCATATGAATTTGTGAATAACCTAAAGGTTTTCAGTTTTTTGGGTGTTCACAAAATCTTCGGATCAAAGATAAAGTCCATGAAAAAGCGAAAAGTAAGCGACGTGTGCGAATCGCGTTGCGGGGAAAAATTCTAAGATCGAAAGATGACAGAGGGTAGATCGATGAAAAGCGCTACTTTTCTCTTCCAGAGATGTTTCGTAATAAGAAAAAAAAAGACGAAGAGAAAACAAACTGGGGGAAAAGAAAAAAAGCGCATCATAATGGAGTCATGTAATATGATACAACTTTATTAAAAACCTAGTTCTAAAGACGGTTGTTGAGAAATATGTACTTATTAAAACTAGCATATATACTTGTAGGAAACATTTTTGGGATTACGGACGCCGATTCCGTAACCGTCCACAACACTGCCCTATCTAAAGTGGAAAGACAAAGTAGGAAAGAGTGAGAAATAGAGGAAGAAGGAGAGAGAAAAGAAAATGAACTAAAAAATGTGAATATATACAATGAGTAACGATTTGAGACTCGACTAAACTCAATGATATAATTCTTTTTCTTCGCTCCGTTTAATGCGCCGTTAATTAATCTCTTATTGCAGAATTCAAATGCAATTTTTTAAACTTTTTCGTATCTTGATTAATTTAATTTTAATTAAATATTCTAAGATATACAATTTAGATTCATGGATGAAAAGTTCTACTAAAGCAAATAGTCTTTTGAATTTTAGAAACTAAATTCTTAAGGTTATTAAATTCTTTAAGTTATTCTTATTGCAAATTACAATTTCTAGAGTATGATTTTTCTCAAATTTTTAACTCTTTTCAATGATACATTTTAAAATTTAACTCATCGAAAAATGTAGAGTACGTTTAATGATTTTTTAAAATTTTAAATTCATAAATAATAATTAGCATAGTAAATGAGTTTGTCATAGATTTCTTCTAAATAAAATTCTGCAACATGTCTTGCAATAAAGGATTAATTTACACTTTTAATAGGCGCGGTCAAGAATGTGAAAATCTTGCGAAGATGCAAGCTTGATCGTCGACGTCAGGAACGATCGATGATCTCGAATAGTGGATGGATAACACGTGGCGAGCACATGTATCGATCCATCAGATCGCCATAGAATGCTCACTAACGATATTAAAAATATGGATAAATGTAATCGCGTGGCTGCCTTTTATTCATCGAACATCGCGGACGATTCACTGCGCAAAGATCGACTTCAAAGTTAATGAGAAAGTGACGCGACAACAATGGGAGATGAATTTGTTGGTTTCTCGCCGACGTAAATTCTCGCCGACGTAGACTTGTGAAACATGTTCTCGTAGCCTAAGATCCTTGGATCCTCCGGATTCTCCGATCTTCGATCATCTGGGTACTGGGTTCTTTATAAATATCACGCATTTTTATAATCTACATTATTTAAATTAATTTGTCGATCTTAATTTTTTAAAAATTCTTTTCAGATTCCATATAATAAAATTTTCTAAATTAACAATATTTTTTCAAATTCAATTTTTCGATTTGCTTAGTTCTCAAAATTTATTAATTATTCTTTAAGAAATCCACACAATTATTAATATGCTATTTTTCATAGAATCTAGTACTCACTTCATTCATTTTGGCTCGTTGCAGCTGCGATATTTCAGATTGGATCCGCGAATGAAAATCGCATTTCATTCGAAGCGGAGCACATACACAAAGACAGCATCGTTCAAAGCTCTCTACTCTTCCTTTAAAATATTAAATTAGTACGTAATTTCTCTTTTTGCTTGATAATTATTAATTATTTAGAAAAGACATTTAATTTTCAAGTCTATTAATTTTTAATAATAGAGAATTTTATCTTTTCTTTCTAATCATTTACATTTTTAACTCTCAAATGGCAATAAGGCAAAGATATTTGAAGAGTTAAGGAATACATCGTTGTTGCCTCCTTCTTACGAACTATTCTATATACAGTAAGATGATGTTTTTAAATTTTTTTTATATTTATCATAATTTATAAACTTCCTTTTTTATTAACTTGTTATACTATCAAAATTATTAAGCTTTAATTTAACGCTCTTTCTAACAAAAAAATTAATATCAATAAGTATGAAATTTATTTTACGAGAAGGAAGCAAGTTGAAAGTTTCGAACGACGCTTCAAAAACACATATGCATACATATGCGCGCGTATAGATTACGTGTAATAATAAATATAGTCGGAATTATTCGGAATTTACGTTAGCGGATGTATTACATGATTATATAAGTGATATATCGATACGTGTCGGGGGAGTACGCTCTATGTGAAACTTTGCAATTTTAATATATTTCTATTGTAAGTATACTCGAGAAACTGTGTATGTGTGTGCGTGTGTGTGTATGTTGTGTGTATGCGTGCAAGATAGAAAAAAAGAGAAAGAAAGAGACGATGGCACACGACGCGCGGGAGGTATTCGATAGCGTATATAAATATATACATATATACATATATATATATATAGATATACATATATTATATAATAATACAGCGAACTGTCGTGAGAAAATTACTTTATATAGACGGGTCGTCTCGTTATGGCCGACTCGAGGAACGCTCGAGGGCGAATTTTGGGGCGACTTAAAAAAAAGATGCACCCTCATATAGAGGAAGAACTTAAGTTTGTCATTCCGTTCGTGTTAAGATTTTTCCATGTGTCTTATCTCATTTCATACTTCATTCGCGCGATCATCTTATCTTTGATGCGCTTTGTTAAATCCTGAGATTGTTGGAGTCTAAAAATATTCTGGGTTTCACCTCAGATCTTTCATGTTCGTTAATCTAGGATTTTTGTTTCTGTTGATTTTCAATCCTTTGAATTTAAATGTTAAATTCCGCGGAGGAATTTCTCGAAGATGTAGATCTTTTTTCAATTAAAAATTCCGTGGTTTTTCTAAGTTGCGGAAAGATTTTAGATTTTTGGATCTTACATTCCTTGGGTATCTAGATTGTTTAAATTCTATTATTTTTCATTGTATTATTTCCCTAGCATCGCCGCATCATTAAACTCTTCTCATGAATTTTTGAATCTCAAAATTTTTACTTTTTAAGATCACGTATGAAGAAGGAACTTAAGATAATCATAGAAAAATATGGAGAAGAGTCGTGAGAGCAAAAGAGGAAGGAGGAAACTATGAATAGAATGATTTCGATTTGTCGAGTTGATCATACATTTTTTTCGTTGTAAAAGAACGCATGCTTTTGCAATAAAAAAAATGAAAAGGTTTCTGCTCCCGAGAACTATTTCATGATAAGGAAAAAAACCCTTTACAGGTTTCTGGTCTCGTAGTGCCACTTTAAATAATAATGAATAATAATATAATAAAATAAAACAACAACAAATAATATATTAATAATAACAATAAAATAATAATGATAAAAAGAATAAAAAAATTGTTATAAGTTGTAACTGTTGTTTCTGGTACATGCAGATACTATACACATACACCCTAAACTAAGGACATGGCCTCCGTTGTTTATTTATACATAACTTCGTCCTATAATCCTTTTGTGCAAAGAATGCAATGTCCTGGAATTATAAACAAACAGAGAAATTAAATCGTATTTCACAAACTTGTTTCACTTGTATCGCACAAACATAGCAATTATTCGAATGATTTATTTATAATTATTGCAGACGTCTTGTATCTTTTTAAAACGAGAACTATAAAATCACAGATTCTTGAATTTTTCTGAAAGTTTTTTGCAACCCTAATTTCATATGAGATCTTCGAATCCTTATGATCCTGCTAATACTATGCATGATTCTTATCTATCGAGATCTATGGTAAAATACTTCTCACACTCTCTTGAATATTTCCGATCGTATAAAATGATTAATATCAAAGAGTTTTATTTGACAAGAATATTTACGATATGCTATTCCTGTTTGCGATTTGTTGCCTAAGATATATTGTTGCGATTCTTCTGTCATTTGATGCATAATAGCGCGACTTTTCCACGACCTATCGATCGATCGATCTGCAGCAAGCAACTGACGATCAACGTAAGGGAGAGATCTAGCGTAAGCAACCTCGCATTATGATTACCTCTATGTATCTGCATGACCATATTACAATAACCTTTAACTACTTTTAAAGGGAGAAAAACATAGCCACTACTCGATGTAGCAGAAAAGAAACTCTATACAGAGCGTTCCAAAAGTATGTGCCA